GCGTTGGACTGTGTCGACTGAGCATTGGAACGTCTTTTTTTCCTATTCTTAACAAGCTTACTGGTCTTTTAAGGAATAGGAGTGGTGTCTTGCTTCCCCTGTGATGTCTGCGTTGAGTGATCTAAATTATGGACAATGAGAGGCATACTATCGACTGACTGTTTGGGTTTTTTAACAACCGGTTCTCACGGTATTGGGATTTTCGACGCACTATCGACCCCGGGGTTTATGCCTCTACAAGTTTTCCTGGTTGTTATAGTGTAAAGTGTACTAGCGATTAGGAGGTGAAGACCGAGATAATTAGAATACAAGATACACAAAAAAGGGATTTAGGAAGAAGAAATTAAGTTGTAATAAAACTACAAGGAATAGAGCCTGAAAATACTCCGAAATTGCAACTTCACCTTTGACCGTACTAGTAAGTAAGTTTGCGTGTATCCAGTAACTTGTCCACAAGTCCTGTGTTTGTGAGTGAGTGGATGTATGTATGCTGCCGAAGCAACTAGAAAAAAAGCAGTTGAATGACGCAGCTAGACCTACAACACAATGGTTCTGACTTGGAATGGTTCCGTTCGCCCGATAATGTTTTCAGATTGTCAACCAATGAATGGAGACAACTTTTTATAGCTTCGGAGGTGGATTGTTTCCCGTGAATGGAAGAGAGTCAGCGAGGACATGTCAAATTCGAAGCGCGCACTGAAAGTACACAAACAAATTGCCAATGCTGTAACAACTATGAACTAGCACTCCGTTGTGTCACAGTACCAGAGGATACATTTTTTCATGAATATGTAAAATTTCTAACTTTCCACATTATTGTGACTTTCTAACTAAAATGCAGTTTCTGTCATTTACTGTAAGTGCTCGGAAACATGAGGATCAGAGGCAACTAAAGTTTATTATTCTCCATGAGACCCAGTCCCATAAAGTCTAGATTTCAATTACGAAAAACGAATGCCACATAAATCTCTTGATAAGAAACTTCAATACTGGTGCATCAAGAGAGTAACCTGAGTATATCCAACGAGTGAAATAGAAATGTTAGTAAATTATGACGAGATACTTTCCAATGTCCTTAAGACAATATCTAGTTCCCTTTAAAAGAATTCCTGGAAACCCGCTTGCATAACTTCATCCGGTTACGAATTCCAGAATATGGCCGTTCGCAAAGAGTAGAAATTGTGGTTGCAGTACATTTTCCTATGTTGTTCCTCTGGGTTCTGTGAATTTCCCCTAAGGTTTGTATCTGAATTGAGAAAGAGTGTTTGGAAATCCACGGGTCGTCAGAAGGTCGCGTCTGAGACGAACATACTCTAACGGGTTGAGATACAATGACTCTAGGCCTTCGTCATAGGGTTTGAATCGGAGTCCCTGAAAGGATTTCATGGCTCTCATTTGAGTACGATCCAGTGTATTTTTGTTCTTTTGGAGTGAGGGAGGAAACACTGAATGAAACCTTTATGAAGTAGGTGGAACGTTGTACTGCCAAACTGGCCAAGAAAGAGCTTCAGTGCTACCAGTACAAGGTTTACTCGAATGGCATTTTAGTCACCATTGGCCTAAGGGTACCAAGACTCGTAGATCTTTTATGATTTCGCACACCTCTGGAGGGAAGTTAACCAGGCTGTATACATAATCCTTATCATGTCTCAGGTTGACCACTTTGCAATTTAAAGTGTTAAAAGTAAGTCGATTGTTATTCGCCTAACTTTGAAGTTGAATTGGACCGGAAACTATCGTAAACCAGAACGACCAGTGAAAAGCAAGGAGGACAAAGTAATCAGCAACACTGAACAGAGAAGTAGGTGGGTAGGGCACTTTCAGGAACTCTTGAATCGACCAGCTCCACTGAACACACCCAACATCGAAGCAGCATCCATGGACCTCCCAATTAATATTGGCGCACCTACAATTGAGGAGATCAGTATGGCCATCAGACAAATCAAGAGTGGCAAAGCAGCAGGACCAGACAATATTCCAGCAGAGGCAATGAAAGCAGATGTAGAAGCTACTGCGAGTTGGACCCTCTCGAACAGCCAGCTTATTCTTTTAGTTGCAAACTCCTCTCCAAAGCTTGACATCCTTAGCGAAGAAATAGTAGCTCAGATAAGGGAGGTCTTTCATATAAATTGAGAAGAGAAGTGGTCCTAGTACCGAACTCGGAAAAAGAGCCTAATAAGAAATTCTGTAGGCTGTGGGAAACTAAAGTTAATCCCGACCTTAAGAAGTCGATCACTTAATATGATGTTAACCTTTACGGTCTAAGATGGTTGTATTCTGTCCATCGTACTCAGTAGGTTGATTACAAATGAGTGCCCGTTCCTGCAGCAGATTTCAGTTTTTTGGACAGCGCTTAGAAAATGTAAAAACGACATGCTATCAATGCTACTCGAGGTGAAAATATAAATGTAGCAAATTGAAGTTGGCAGTAGTCCCACAACGTCTGTACATATATGCTCGAATTTTCTGTCATGGTAAGGGAAAGGAACTAGTGAGGATCTGATTTCGCGATCTACTTTAACTTTTGAAATCTTGCACATGCTTGTGCCTAGTTACGAACATCCCAGTAGATACTTTGATATCGGCTTGAACTACGGAATGCGAAATATTATGCATAGCTTCGAAAGCTTTTCGTTTAACGGCTACAGAATAAACGAAACATCATTCGCTACGCTTATCTCGTTCAATCGAATTTCTTCGAGTATCAAAGAAGTTGTGTTGATAGATCTTAATCTGCTCAACACGACATACATGTTTTACAATTCCGCTAGTTATTCATCAATAAATGTATATACTTCCGACAAACCTCTGACTACCTGGCTGATGAATCGCTGGTGGTTTCAAATACATTAATTATTACAAGAGGTATTTGCAGAAATTAGAATTACTCGAATATAGTGATTATGGCCATTTTTGATAGATCTTCCGGAGCCACAGGAATATGTAATAAGCCCTAACAAGGCCAATCTTTGGAAAGATCATTAAACAATCCATGTCGTTGGTAATGTCGTGAGTGTGTGGTATCGGATATTTATCTGCCGGAGGTTGTTTGTCAGGGGCTCCATAATCTCCCAATGGTCTGAATTATTCATTCGATTTCGAACCATGTGCAACGGGGATGCCCAGTGACTACTGGGTGGTCTTTTAATACCGACTTCATTATCAGTTTGCTTAAGGTTGTAAGGTCCACCTCGCAGAGTCCTCTTAGGTGAAGCTATCATTACTTTTAGTAGTTTGCAACGGATGGAATGTCTCAAGATAATGTTAAGCCAGTTAGTCATGCCATTAAGTCCTAATAGCTAAGAAATCTCGGCTTTGACTTGTCGAAGTAAGTCTGTAACAGAATTAGCTCTTTTGACCAGAGAAAATGTGTCTAATAGTCAGGCTTGATACTGAAGTTTATCTTCTCTTGACGCCTATGTACATTGATACCTTGCACGCTTGAACTATATATATATATATATATTCTCGCGCCACCAGGACGTTCATATTCTTTAAGTTTTAGCATCCGAGGAATGAGAGTACCAATGACTGAGTTGGTTGTAACTTCTGATTGTGAGACTGACTGGTTCGCAGTACGTAAGGATTTGTTTTGTAAGAAATCCCAGTGAATTTCCATATCAAATTGAGTGAGCGCCTCACAGTCCACTTACTGCAAATTTTTCTTTACAGTTGACGAATCCAGCGGTTCGAAGTCCCAATGCTTGTTGATATTACGATGTTTTAGCTCAGTGTTGTTAGTGAGATTGACAGATTCTTGAATGTGCGGTCGATATGCTATCAATCACGATCGTAGATACAGAGCTGCCTCGTTAAACTCGAACTAGCAGCTTCTTATTTACAATGCCATTAATTAGATTCATTTTGGAAAACTATTCAACAAGTAAACTTTGGAAACTAGACGAAATGAAATTCGTTGTCGACGGATACTGAGAAGTAGAATAGCAAGTTCATTTTGCTTCTTTGCTATCCTCGAACTCTTTAGTCCACAATGTTAATGAACTGATAAATGAAGAAGTTTTAGCCACATACTTGAAACAGGGAAGGTCATCGTTCATAGTCCAACATTCTGACAAGTCCCTCACGAATTTCAGGTTTGAGAATATTTTGTATTATCATTATCAAAGACATCGTAATCTAATAGAATCCCGATAAACATACTGAAAGTTTTCTGTGTCTGGGATCAGAATGGACACAATCCTCTCCTATTAAGTCCCTCATGTATATAAGTAGCACAGTAACAGCCTCAAATCACTACTCTATTTCTATAATATGCATGATTATACTTGTTCGAACTCAGCAAACTGTTAAGTACCATGTCATGACCGATTAGCGATATGGATTTGCTTAATAGTTAGTTAATATTAATTCACAGGTAGTGTATTCCCCTGTTTTGACCATCCTCAATTGGCATGTTCGTATCATAAGATTATATCCTGAATGTTACAATCAAGTACTGATGCCTCATCTACATTTTTCTTGCCATTCATAATCCAGACTTAGCTTGTTGGAACTCAGTAACGACTATAAACTATCAGTAGTATATAAATCCCTTTTTTTGTTAGACTTTAAAGCCTTTGCAAGGCATTCATCAAGCTGACATATTTGACACTGAGGCACACGATTATTATTTTTGCTTAGTTAGGAGGCCATGTTCCATTCTGGTTAATTTCTCTCTATCCCACTAGTGGATATAAGAGGAAAATAGAACTATTTTAATTAGTTACGACGAACTACAAATACGAGACCTGAGGTTTTATTACCATTAGACAAGAGAGCCAACGGATACGTTTTACACAAACCTGATCAATTTATATCAAGTACACGATTCAAAATCAAGGCTAGAGAAGCTGAGTCTGATTCAGCAACACCATTTTAGATAACTGAAGCAGTCTACACTAAAACTCCAGAGCAAAGTCATGAATCACTAGCTTATTATGACACACAGGGCGAACTCAACTCTTTCCTCCGGGTTCACTTTATTTGATTGACCTAGGGAACGCTGCAGTACCAGCCTTTCGTACACAGAAAGGCTTGAACTTTCCGGGGGTGACTCTGGCTCCTGCCATCCAGGGCTACAATTCGAAAATATTGGGTAAACAAAAATGGGTTCGTTTGTCGCAACCGTTCCACCATTACTTAAGTGGAGAGATATAGTCATACTTTAGTTAAAAATATTACTTCCTACTCATACTCTCACTAAGGTGACAAAAATCTGGAATTGTATACTGCAGTGAAGACTGGGATTTCGAAGTTCGGCCCTTGTAGATCGATTCAATGACTATAGATCTTTTATTTCCATACTGCTTCTTTCATGGCATTACAACTAACGAATACATTAATGATTTCGAAGGGAGCAGTATAGTGACTTAATGACTTGATCGATGGACGTTTGTGTATAGGTTAGTTGTTAGGACAACTAGCTCAACAATGTTTGCCATCCAAATACAGTACTTTACTATAACTGGAACTTTATTATCATTGGGAAATTGAGTTATCGAGGACCATATTTACACTTATAAGAATGTTTGATATTCAATGTGTCCTAGAAACAATTTCTCATTTTCACTGTTTGAAAACGAACTTATTTTCTATCTTTGAAGATCCTGTGCACACAGATTAGCTCCTTATAGGCTTAACAAGTATGTAGGACGGGGCTTGTCCCGCCTTCGGTGGACACTGAGCTAAAACGAACAGCACTTATCACCTATGGTATTTATGATTTCGGGGAACGATTACTAGTAATTGCCGATACATAATGTTAAGACTTAATGATGTATCAAATATAAGACAATTTATTTAGATTAGGAAAAAGTGACCAAAACATATGTCTTCCGGAAAATCGAAGAACAAGTATGTTCAAACAAAGATTCAAAAGAAAGCAATTATCACATTATGCTGGAAAGTTTCTGAACCAAGAAACTGTTAAGGAATATGGCAAATATATTAGCACAATTTCTTAATAGCGATTAAATGATGTCGTTTGCCCCAACACAGAAAAATGAAGTAAATAAAGCCAAAGTCAATCACTGATTTTTCTTGGAAGAGTTTTGCAGTTGACCGTAGTTATCAGTTGGATAGGGAGAGGGTTGGTTGTGGTTAGCTTAAGTATTGGCTGAATAAGATGTTGCACTGCCTGGATAAGAAGGCACACTGCCTGGATAAGGTGGCGCAATGCCTGGATAAGATGGCACACTGTCTGGATAAGATGGAACACTGCCTGAACAAGATGGCACACTGCCTGGAAAAGGTGGCGCAATTCCTGGATAAGATGGCACACTGCCCGGATAAGATGGGACACTGCCTGGATAAGATGGCACACTGCCTGGATAAGGTGGCGCAATGCCTGGATAAGATGGCACACTGCCCGGATAAGATGGAACACTGCCTGAACAAGATGGCACACTGCCTGGATAAGGTGGCGCAATGCCTGGACAAGATGGCACACTGCCCGGATAAGATGGAACACTGCCTGAACAAGATGGCACGCTGCCTGGATAAGGTGGCGCAATGCCTGGACAAGATGGCACACTGCCCGGATAAGATGGAACACTGCCTGGATAAGGTGGCGCAATGCCTGGACAAGATGGCACACTGCCTGGATAATTTGGAGCATTTGGTTGTAGAGCAGCAGCGTTGTTTGCTTTAGTTAGAACAACATAAGTTAAAAAATTAATTAGTATCTAACCAAATCACCAAATATTATACAAGAAATAAACACGTATGAATAAGGTGGGCTGGAAACCATTATCAGATGGAAGCTAAGAACTACACTATGTGGAAATCAACTAAATCCTCATTGATTGATAGGGTATAATATTTATTTGGAAAAAAATTGTACCTAAAGTAAATCACTCTCGAAAGTAGGCTTATGCTAAATGACGAGCAGAACGAAACAACTATAAACTAAATCATTACTATTACAAATAATTTCGATGAGCACGGCCATTATGAATTACTTCGTGTGAAGTGTGAAACACTTTAATGTTGTAGCTGATGTATATTTTGCAACTCTCCATCAATTTTTTAACATAATGAAGGGAAATAGTTGCAAATTCTGAAAATTTTACTGAGACATACGGGGAAGTCGTTAGATAAAAATATAAGGCTTATCGGAGTATTACATTTTAGTTTTGACATCTCAAAGTAGAATACTAAGCATTCACTCTCGCTTTAAGATAAACATTTCTATGCCAAGTTCCTCACCAAAAATTATCTCGGTAATATTTTATTGTAGAAGGTTATTAAAATTAGAAAGATGAGAGCAATGTAGTAAAAATAGAGGGTTTTCTGACAAGATAGCCTGAAAAGCTTAATGCGGTTATGCATATTATTTTCATGTTTTGCTTCATTAACATTTTGAAACGTTTTAGATGGAAGAAGATTACAAATGCATTTGTAAATATAGATCGGTTTTAAGCTAACTGAACTCCGCCAGTAGAACCTTCGGGGCTACTGCCGGTCCCAAGCCCGGGTAAAGGAGGAGAGTTGGACATGGGGTTGGCGACCCCATTCCGTCAAAAACTAACTTGCCAAAAAACGCTAACCAGAAACAATAATTCAAACCATTTTAACTCTGCCCTGGGAGTTGGAGGAAGAATCGGGAAGTCGCGTGATGAAAGCTAAGTTCCCTCGGAAGTCACGGGGCCGATGCCTCTTCTGACAACCAGAGCAACTATTCTTTTAGGTACATGGAACCTTCGTACATTGTGGGAGACTGGAATACTATTTCAAGTTGCGGCAGAAATGAAAAGATACAACCTCGAGGTGCTCAGCATCAGTGAAACGCATTAGACACAGGCAGGACAACTGAGACTAGCTTCAAAGGAACTGCTGTTATATTCTGGTCATGAAGAGGAAAATGCTTCACATGCACAAGGGGTTGTCCAAACATGCGCAAAAGGCACTAATGGGATGGGAATCTCATGGACCCAGGATCATTGAAGCATCCTTCAAAACAAAGAAAGAAGACATTACAATGAACGTCATCCAATTAATGCACCTACCAATGACTACAATGACGATGTTAAAGTTCTTCGGGATACCGTAAAATTCAAATTCAAGATAGCCCTCACCAATAGGTTCCAGGCCTTGCACGATATACTCAATTGAGAGGATGCAACATTGGAAAGATATTAAGGAGGCAATCACTTCAACATGTCACGAAGTTCTGGGTCACAAGTAGTACCATCACAAGGAATGGATCTCTGTTGATACTCTTGCAAAAATTGAAGAAAGGAGGAACAAGAGGGCAGCAATCAATGTCAGCCGAACAAGAGTAGACAAAGTTAAGGCACAAGCTGCATACACAGAAGAAAACAGGGAAGTGAAGAAGAGCATCAGAGCTGACAAACGAAAATATGTGGAAGATCTAGTAATGACGGCGGAAAAGGCTGAAAGAGACGGAAACTTGAGACAATTGTACGAAACAACAAAGAAGCTCGCCGGGAACTATCGTAAACCAGGACGACCAGTGAAAAGCAAGGAGGACAAAGTAATCAGCAACACTGAACAGAGAAGTAGGTGGGTAGAGCACTTTCAGGAACTCTTGAATCGACCAGCTCCACTGAACCCACCCAACATCGAAGCAGCATCCACGGACCTCCCAATTAATATTGGCGCACCTACGATTGAGGAGATCAGTATGGCCATCAGACAAATCAAGAGTGGCAAAGCAGCAGGACCAGACAATATTCCAGCAGAGGCAATGAAAGCAGATGTAGAAGCAACTGCGAAAATATTTCACATCTTCTTCAAGAAGATTTTGGATGAGGGAACTCACCACTGTACATCAACTTCATCGAATACGAGAAAGCATTCGATAATGAGGATAGCAAAACACTGTGGAGGCTTCTTCGACACTACGGTGTACCTGAGAAGATAGTTAACATCATACGGAATTCTTATTCGAGGTGAAGACCGGTGTCAGGCAAGGTTGCTTACTCTCACCCTTTCTCTTTCTCCTGGTCACCGACTGGATGATGAAGACGTCGACATCTGGAGGGAAGCACGGTATCAAATGGACAGCCAGGAATCAGATGGATGATCTGGACTTCGCAGATGATCTGGCTCTTCTATCTCACACGCAACAACAAATGCAAGAGAAGACGACCAGTGTAGCAGCAGGTCTCAACATACATAAAGGAAAAAGCAAAATTCTCCGATGCAACACAACATGCACCAACAAAATCACTCTTGATAGAGATGCCTTGGAGGACGTTAACACCTTTACATATCTTGGCAGCATCGTCAACGAGAAAGGCGGATCCAATGCAGATGTGGGAGCGCGAACCTGCAAAGCAAGGGCTGCATTTCTACGATTGAAAAATATATGGAACTCCAAAAAATATCAATCAACACCAAAATCAGGATTTTCGATACACATGTCAAGACAGTTCTACTGTATGGATCCGAAACTTGGAGAACCACGACAGCCATCATCCAGAAGATACAAGTATTTATGAACAGTTGTCTACGCAAAATACTTCGTATTCGTTGGCCAGACACCATCAGCAACAACGTACTGTGGGAGAGAACAAACCAGATCCCAGTGGAGGAGGAAATCAGGAAGAAGCAGTGGAAGTGGATAGGACACACACTACGAAAAGCACCTAACTGCGTCACGAGACAGGCCCTCACATGTAACCCTCAAGGCAATAGGAAAAGAGGAATGCCAAGAAACACATTACGCCGAGAAATAGAGAAAGATATGAGAGGAATGAACGAAAATTGGACAGAACTGGAGAGGGAAGCCCAGGACAGAGTTGGTTGGAGAAAACTGGTGGGTAGCCTATGATCCGTTGGGGTTAACAGGCGAAAGTAAGTAAGTAAGTTTAAGCTAACTAAGTATTTTAATACTAGTCCCTAAAAGACAGGTTACAAAATCGAATTTCTCCTTTAAATTGGAGACTCGCTAAATTAAAAAGAGGATTAATTTGAAATAAAAACTCCCTTACCTCCATATGATGAGTTAGTAGTTGGATATGAAGGTGCGTACTGACTAGTACCCGTAGGTCCGAAATCACTAGTCATTGTAGTAGGCGTAGCACCGGGGTACGGAGGTGGGGCTCTGACTTGGTAGAGTGTTTCCGCTGTAAAAATATAGGTTTACGAGAAAAAATAGACTGATTTATTGACGATATGGTAATGGTAGAGTAGACTTCAACTAATACCAGATAACTTTGGTATGAGTCAATCAGTGAGATCCAGTGCATACGTTGAATCTTATCAGGTGATTACAATTGCATTCTAGTTAGTCAAATGTTACAATGAACCTGATAGCAAGTGAAAGAATATCAGCAGTATGTAAACACGTAAGAACATAGAAGCAACACTTCAACAGTAGGTGAGGTGGAGGTCATAGATTAGAACCCAATGTAAGTCGATAATGTTAAAATAGTTAGCACAAATCTAGCACATAAAATCAATGGATCTAATTTTTAAAAATCCATAGTTTGCTTTATAATGTAAAATCATGAACTCATACTAATTTCTGAAATATATTTAATTTGGAAATTACATTATGAACGTAAACTGATGCGCATGGTAACTGCGATTTAACTCCGCCTGTAGATCCTTCGCAGCTGCTGCCAGTCCCAAGCCCGGATAGAGAAGGGTTTGGATTGGGGTTGGCGACGCCATCCCACAAAAAACCTAACTCGCTAAAAAAATGCTAACAAGAAATATTACTCAAACCATTTAAACTCTGCTCTGTGAGTTAGAAGAGTTATGACGTTTCATGATGACAGCCGAGTTCCTTCGGAAGTCAGTCAGTCAGATGCAACGTAGAACTTTGTACATAAGTACATCAGTTCATGTTGCCATACCACATCAGCACAGAGAAGTAATTGTCAATTCAAATCCAATAGTAGAAGAGGTAGTAAAGGTATTAGAAGTAATCGGAGAGGTTAGGATTAGAAGATATTATTCAAGAAGTATGATTCGATGAGATAAGTTTAGAAGGTAAAAACTAGAGGTGTTGAAAAAAAACAGAAGATTAGGATTTGAGAGAACACAAAGAGTAAATGCACCGGCGCCATTGCGAACGATTTTGAGCCATGTCATTCAAGCTCTCTAACCATCGATTATTATCATCTTGCGGACCCCAACCAGGTAGTCGACAATTACCGACATGGCTCAGTCCATCAGTCAATGACTTCATGGATTTCTGCCATGTTTTGGTTTGGCCGCCCCTAGCTTTCTTCCAACCTATTCCTACACTACAAAACAAGGCTCGACGAGGCAGTCGGTGGTTGGGCATACGCAACACATGTCCCAACCACCTCAACTGGTGAAGTTTCAATACTTCATCTATTGATCTGCCATTCTTACCTAGCACCTGCTTCCTAATAACAGCGTTGCTCACTCGGTTGTCCCACGATATACGAGCAATGCTTCGAAGGCACCTATGATCGAAAACCAGTAACCTACGAATATCTTCTACTCTCACTGGCCATGTTTCACAGCCGTAAAGTAAGACGGAGCGAACCGCTGCGCAGTACACTAGTCCTTTAGTCAGCAAACAGATATCTCGCCTACGCCATAAGTGACGCAGGTTGGCAAAAGTCAATCGAGCCTTCTGTATCCGAGCTGAGATTTCGTCAGTCACCAGGCCATCGGCACTGATGAGACTCCCAAGATAAGTGAAGCGGTCTACACGTTCGACTACTTCACTCCCTATCACTAGTTCAGGTGCCGATTCAACCCAGTCTTGAAGCAACATTTTGCATTTCGACCTGGAGAATCGCGTCCCGAACATGCTTGCATTGTTGCTTAGGGTGGTCAGAAGACTCTGCATTTTGTCAGCGTCTTCACCAAGTAGGACAATGTCATCGGCATATTCTAAGTCAATAAGCGAGCCACCTGGTAGAAGGTCTACTCCTGAAAATTCAGACGAGGATAATGTTATGTCTAGGAGCATGTCTATGATAAAATTAAACAAGAATGGAGAAAGTGGACAGCCCTGACGGACACCACTTGATGTAGAGAATTCCAGTGACAGTTCGCCATAAGCCCTCACTCGACCAGTGGTGTTCGAGTAGAGAGCTTGTATAAGGTTGATGTACTTCTTTGGTACACCTATCAATGACAGACACTGCCACAGAACATCACGATCCACAGAGTCAAATGCCGCCTTAAGGTCTAGGAAAACAACTATTGTAGGACGCCTAAATGTGTGTCTATGTTCCAGAACATGTCGTAGTGTGAAAATGTGGTCTATACAACCACGTCCAGGTCGAAAACCAGCCTGGTTTTCTCGAGTCTGCTCTTCACGAGCTTTCGTTAAGCGTCGAAGTATTATTGAGGCCAATATTTTAGATACTATATTAGTTAGACTTATTCCCCTGTGATTGTCACAAGAAGACTTTTGTCCTTTCTTGTAGATTGGGACAATTAGCGACTGAGACCAGTCAGATGGGATTACGTCCATTTCCCAGATTCTACCTAGGATCTCGGTCAGTCTAACCGTTAAAACTGGACCACCATCCTTAAACATTTCAGGGGTAAGCCTATCGGGACCTGCCGCTCTACCTCTCCTTAGATTTCCTATAGCTTTCTCAACTTCATGTAAACTGGGAGGACTTAAATCGATTTGCCATTCAGGATGACTGGAGATCGTGGGTAACCAAAGAGTGGCTCGTGGCCAGTTGAACTGATCCCTAAAGTGTTCTGCCCATCGATCCAGTCTCCTGGATTGAGAATGGATGATAATCCCATCCTTTTCCGAGATAGTCTCACTCACATTCGGGTTCTTAATACCGGTTTCTTTGATAAGGCGGAAAAGTTGTCTAGTGTCGCCTATCGCCGCTGCCTTTTCCATCGCTTTTGCTTTCGCCACCCACCACTGTTCACGGTCGTTACGTAGGCTTTTTATAAGTCTGCACCTAAGCTGACTACGCTCTTCATCATGTTCAGAGTCAGGTGGGATGCGTTTTCGAGTATCCATCAGTTCGGTGGATGCGACTGAAATCCACGGCTTCATCCTAGCCTCATGGTTTACCTTCCTGGCAGATATCACTGCTGTTTCCACAGCCTTTTTGATATCATACCAACCTGCTTCTGGATGGGAATCGCTTACATCGTTGCTTAACTCTCTTTCTAGTTGCTCCTGAAATATTTTCTTGGTTTGATTATCATTAAGTAAAACCCTAAGAGGCTTTCTTACGGTGTCTTTCCTACGTCCAGTAAGCCTTAAGCGGATACGAGCTCGCACTAGGGCATGATCTGAATCTAAACATGTGCCCCAGAAAGAGCGACAGTCCTCTATCGAACACCTCCATCGGTGGCTGATGGCGATATGATCTAGTTGAGTCCAACGTTGAGACGACTTCGAGGGTCGCCAGGTCAACAGATGCTTTTCCTTATGCCTAAAGTTGGTGTTCGCTAAGAATAGGCGGTTGTCTGAGCATAGTTGCAACAGACGGTCGCCATTGTCTGTTCTCTGAGCCGCGACACCATAACATCCACCATGGTGTCTTTGATTTTCACTTAGTCTGCCTACTTGAGCATTGAAGTCATCGGCCATTATTACTATATCAGAGCGCCTAGCATTTTGGAGGAGGTCCGAAAGCTTTCTGTAAAACTCATCTTTAACCTCGTCTGCACTGCAGTCAGTGGGGGCATAGGCAGATATGACGAAGAGGCAACGGCGAGTGTCCCTATCCTTCCGAGTCCTTACTGTCCCGTTTAGTCCGACAGCGCACAAACGACTATCTACTGGGATCCAGTCTAGGAGAGATAATTCTGCCCTAGGACTCAACGCTATGCCTACGCCACCAAGACTCCTGGAAGAAGCATCAGGGCTACCGGATACACGAAGAGTAAATCGAGCTTCTTCTTCGTTTTGACAAGGTGGAATCAGGTTAATGACTTTACTAGGATCCTGTATGCGCGTTTCCGAGACGCAGCATACATCGATGGCACGAGTTTCTAAAGTCCTAGCTAATGATGCCTGTTGCCCTATTTGACACAATGTCCGTACATTAAAAGCTCCAACATGTAGTCTAGAACGGGGTTTCAAGAGACCAGGAACGACGTTTCGTGATCTCGCTTCGTCTGCATTAGCGGTGCAGTGAGAAAAGGGAGTGTGAGTAGAGTTAGTCGTAGAGATAAGAGAGACATTAGGGGGTGTAGGAAGGATTTGATTTTGACCAATTTGGTCTCGCGTGCTGTTATGGGTATGAGGGCGGTTGTCACTTCCCGGCTGCCCACACCGTGGAAGGTTGATTCTTGAGGGACCTGAAAAGGAAGATGGATTAGTGTTGGTGCGTGACCGCAGAGCCCAAGGGACAACTGCTTGAGGCCGGTCACGCACGGCCTTTTTATGAAAGGTATTTAGAGGATTAGCTCCGTACTTAAAGGCCCTTAGTGGGCACCCTTACCCAAGGAGACGGAAATCCGTGAGGTAGGGGAGGTGTGACATTTTTAGGGTCGACCTTTTCTAACCCTTCCTTCCTTGTGAGAAGGCAGCATCGCTGCAGATGCTGGTTGTCCGAGGGAAACACCTTACTGCTGTCACACCCCTCTGCAGTCAGCAGTACGACTTCGCCCTCAGACCTTGGGTAGCTGCTTTTAGTCTCATCGTTCTCCAATCGACCAGCCTGGCATGGTAGGACCTGCAGGAACATATGTTCCAGCCAGTATAGCTCGGTTGGGTCATCACGATAGGTAAGCCCGACCACCACATCAAGGTAGCAGCTTCAGTCGGGTCCTTCGGAAGTCATGAGGCCGATGCCCCTTCTGACAAACAGAACCCTTCCACAGTGTGGACTATATATATATATATATATATATATATATATATATATATATACATGACAAAGTTCAAACTTGTAGTAGTAGTAGTAGTAGAAGTACAGATGGTATAAGGAAATTCAAGGGTTCAAGTTATAAGTGAAGATAAAAAGTAAATCTATCTGCATCATTGAGAATGATGAGTATGAGCCATGTCACTCAAAGTTGCTAATCAACGATTAGTTAGTACAATAACATAAATAATATAAGCTTAGATAAACAGAAAAAACCAAACACACATACACAACTGTATTGACTTATTCTCATTAATCCATAAATATGCAAAAGTTGATAGGAAAAGAGAGAGAAAAAAATACATTAATTACCTTGGGGTACAGTGAATGCTTCATGTGGTCGTACAAATCCATAGTATGGATCGTTATAAGGTGCAGAATAAGCTGGTGGTGGACAAGCATAATATTGGCCAGCACCATTCATATCTGCAACAGATGAATATGAATTTGGCGGTTTGAATTGTTGTTTTGAAGAGCATGCACGTTTGCCTAATTCGATTAATGTTGTGCCGAATTCAATAGCACCACCTTTTTTGAATGTTATCGAGAATTTCGCTTCACCCTTGAAAAATATTCAGTTATTAATTATATAATGAAGAATTGATTGATGTGAAAAATACTAATACTCTAGTACGATTCAAATGAATGAGCATTGGTAATGAATATATTTTTAGTTTTGTTACAATTTGACAGTAGATTAGTACATTAACCTTGAAAGTCTCGAGGTTACTTATGAGAGCTAATTAGTCTCGATTCATTTTATTCAATAATTGAGTATTTTTGGTAACATTATTTACAAAGGTGAATTTAGAATCACTGAAACTATGACCAGTTTTTCCACACAAAATGAAATCTTGAGTTAAAAGAATGTTTAACCGAGAACGAAAAATATAAGAAAAGTTAGAAATGGCCTAATAAATATTTACAGAATAGTTAAATTGATATTAAAAGATAAGTATGCGATATTGTTAGCTAGGTTTACTGGTAACTAAGATGAAATTAATTACATAGTATTTGAACTGTGATAGTGATTTTTATAACATTGGTTACTTGTGTTATGCCACATTACTTCATACAATGATATACTATGTTTCATCATTTAGTAGGAGAACCATAAGAGGTTTCCTTGCGGTGTCATTCCTACGTCCAGTAGGCCTCAAACAAATACGAGTTCGCACTAGGGCATGATCTGAATCTAAACATGTGCCCCAGAAAGAGCGACAGTCCTCTATCGAACACCTCCATCGGTGGCTGATGGCGATATGATCTAGTTGAGTCCAACGTTGAGACGACTTTGGGCGCTACCAGGTCAAAAGATGTTTTTCATTATACCTAAAGTTAGTGTTTGCTAGAAATAGGCGGTTATCTAAGCACAGTTGCAACAGACGGTCGCCATTGTCTGTTCTCTGAGTCGCGAAACCATAACATCCACCATGGTGTCTTTCATTTTCACTTAGCCTACCTACTTGAGCATTGAAGTCTTCAGCCATTACTACTACATCAGAGTGCCTAACTTTTTGGAGGAGGTCCGAAAGTTTTCTGTAAAACTCATCTTTCACCTCTTCTGAACTGCAGTCAGTGGGAGTGTAGGCAGATACGACGAAGGTCTCTATTTTTACGAGTCCTTACAGTGCCGTTTAGTCGGACAACGCACAATCGAATATCTACTGGGATTCAGTATAGGAGAGATTGTTCTGCCCTAGGACTCAATGCTATACCTACGCCAGAAAGACTCCGGAAAGCAGCATCAGGGCTTCCAGATACACGAAGAGTAAATCAAGTTGGTTCTTTATTTGACATGGTGAGGTCAAGTGAATAAAGCAACTCGGATCCTGTATGCACGTTTCTGAGGAGCAGCATACATCGATGGTGCGAGATTCTAAAGTCCTAGCTAAGGAAGCCTGTTGCCCTATTTGCCACAATGTTCGTACATTAAAAGCCCCAACATGTAGTGTAGAACGGGGTTTCAGGAGACCAGGAACAACTTTTCGTGAACTCTCATCGTTTGCATTAGCAGTGCAGGGTGTTAAAGGGATGTGAGAAGGGTGAGACGTGGAGATAAGAGAGGTATTAGGGGGTGTAGGAAGGATCTGATTGTGACCTATTCGGTCTCGTGTGCTGTTACGGGTATGAGCGCGGTTGTCACTTCCCGGCTGCTCACACTGCGGAAGGGTGTTTCTTGAGGAACCTGAAAAGGAAGGTAGATTAGCATTGGTTTTAGAGACCCGGGAGCGTGACCGCAGAGCCTAAGGGACAACTGCTTGAGGCCGATCATACACAGCATTTTTGAGATGTTTTTAAAGTACTAGCTCAGCTCTTGTTTAAAGGGCCTTACTGCCAAAGACGGAAATCCGTGAAGTAAGGTGAGGTGTAACAATTTTAGGGTCGACCTTTTCTAACCCCTTTTTCTTGTCAGAAGGCAGCATCGTTGCAAATGCCGGTTGTCCGAGGGAAACACCTTACTGCTGTCACATCTATCTACAGTCAGAAGTACGACATCATCCTCAGACTTTGAGTAGCTGTTTTTAGTCTCGTCGTTCTCCAATAGACCTGCATGGTATGGTAGGACCTACAGGAACATATGTCGCAGCCAATATAGCTCGGCTGGATCATCACGATAGGCATTCCCGACCACCACGACAAGACAGCAGCTATGGCCGGGACAGGAGGCTGGAGAAAATGAATTTATGGGAATTCGTGAACTGGTGAAGGTATATTTACGCTTGATAATCAAAATGTAAACAAATGACGTTTCACTGTTGAAAACATTGCACTAGTTGACATACTAATTTACACATTGTAAGAACAAGTGATTAAATCATTCAACCGAAAACAACTTAAATTAGACAACCATAAATAATTGTGTACAATAGTGGCTCTGTGACCGGATCACTCAGCTTTTAATCACCAGGTTTTAGGTAGAAAACAAGTCTCAACACAATTCGGTCTAAACAAAAGTGTGGTTTACAGTCGGGTAGATAAACATGTAATTGATAAGTTCATGATTACTTAAAAAATCTATAGCTACAGAGAAAACTTTATTGGATAAAGCTAGTTACAAACCAGCTAATCTACAAAGGTCTTACATATAACGAATCTATTTTATGACTGAAACAACTAATGGATTGTGAAAACACACGATTATATATATATATATATAGACATGACATGAACTTAAAAATTACTACTATTACAAGGTCGAAAGACCCGTAAACGATTGTAAATTAATTTACCTGCCAACCACCATTCGGTTCAGCTGTAATTATGCCCTCTATACGATTCGCTCCAAACACAGGCTGTTTAATATCAACCTCTCTCATATTAACAAACGGCATACTGAATGAAAGTAAACCTGCGGATGATTTTCTGTTTATAAAAATCACCTAATAAAATTTAGTACAGATAAATAAATGAAATTCATTACTCTATGTGAAGTCAGGTACAAACGTCCCTCATGTGAAAACTTAAGACACTGACCGTCAAGTTTCAAATCACATCCATCGTAAAATATTAACATCCTGAAATATAATCATTAATTTTATTGAAACAATGACGTGAGTATATACCTTTCTCCGTAAAATAGCACAACACCATTGCCATTAGCAGAATGACTTTGATTCATAGACATTTCGATATGGACCTACAAGGAAAACTGAGGGAAAATAAATGATCACAATGTCATATAGATAGATAGATATAATGGGTTAGACATTTTTTTCGTCTACCAGATTGTGGATAACTATATCATATTAAATCATATAATATACATCAATTATAGTCTAGAGCACATATCTATATGATTATTACACTTTTTAGTATGGACAACAATAATTGGAACCTAACTCCAGTGGTGTGACAATGAGAAATTAATTGATGACTTAATGCTCTGATAATTTTAATAAGTAAATCCAGTGTAAATGACACATATGCAAGTATAACTTGGATCATTGTGAAACAACACTAGAAATATCTGTTACAAATTGGTTGAAATAGACATTCACACGTACAGTAACATAAGAAGTATACAATAAAAAAGTTTCATATTCATAAACGTGTCAGTCAGACAGACAACTTTGGATCTGGTACAAATATATATTGATTTAATTTGCTACATCATATATTAGCGTAGTGATAAAAGAAAAGTCAACAATGAAAGAAAACAGAGGAAAGAAAATAATTATAAGAAACATATTTTTAAGGAATAAAAGGAACAGAAGAGCGCGAAATCTGAAGTGACACTACGATAAAAACTTACAGTAAAATAAACAGTAAATCTAAGTAGATAACATCAGCTCTGAACTCTGTTATCTAATGTATGCAAGTACAGATTACAACTATTGTACGTTTCAAGGCAGGAAGTTAAAAACTAGATGGATTGATGTTACGTCTTGATTTGGTTGCAAATAGCCATCAACTAATCTACTTTATTGATAATTAGTGGATGTATTGATGGAAACTATGAACCTCAATTGTCATATTTGGTAAAGCCTGTGAGATTCTATGTAGACATAAGGTCGAAAAAAAAAACAAAGGACTATTGACTACGACTAAAAAGTAGATTTTACGCTAGAAAAATTATTGTTATACACATAACTGCAATCATATGAGAACTAAATAATGAATTTACAAACGCTAGACGACTAAGTTCTACCGAATTAAACTCTGTATTCAAATTTAGGTGCCTATAGATGGTTTAGAGTAACAACTATAGGTAAAGGCTAGTAATAGTATGCCAGTTAAATGAATGAAAGCACATGAATTCTGGTCCAAAAGGATATCAAAAACGCCGTACATAGAATAGTTGACGATAATATTATTCAATAAAGAACCACTAAAATAGGTTAGATGGATAATTACACTTGAACTACGAATGCATGCATGTGAAAATTGTCCTAACTGCTCATGGAAATTGATTTAGGACAGAAACCTCATGAGGTTACTATACAACGGTCTTACCGCTTGTACATATAAGGTTAATGAGACTCCCAAGACAAGCGAAGCTGTCGACACGCTCAACTGCTTCACTCCCTATCACTAGTTCAGGTGCCGATACAACCCAATACTGAAGCAGAATATCGAGAGGGAGAATCGCAACCCGAACATGCTTGCATTGTTGAACAAGGTGGTCAGAAGACTGAGTTTTGTCAGTGTCTTCACCAAATAGAATTATACCATCTTCATATCTTAAGCCAATAAGTGAATCACTTGGTAGAAAGTCAACTACTGGAAAGTAAGACGATGGAAGTGTTATTTCTAAAAGCACACCCATGACAAAGCTAAAAAGAATGTAGAAAGTGGACAGTCCTGACAAACATCACTGACTCTACAAGTTATATCAAAGTAAAGAGCCCTCATTGATACACACTTCAATGACTGACCCTGCCAGAGAACCTCACCATCAACAGTCAAATGCTGCAGTAAGGTCAAGGAATACAACGATTATCGGACGTCAAATTTTGTATTTGTTCTAGAGCATGTCGAAGTGTGATTGTCTGGCCTATATATCTACATCAAGGTCTTAAACCAGCATGATTTTCTTGAGTCTACACTTTAGGAGCTGTAATTAGTCGTCGAAGCCTAACTGAAACTAGCATTTGAGACAATATATTAGTTAAACTGATTCCTCTCTGAATGACAAAAGAGAACTTTCTACTTTCTTACTGACTGGAACAATCAACGATTGAGTTTCCGAGCTACTACCCACTGCTCTTCACTAACCTTTCGGTTTAACTTACCAGCAGATATTACTGCTGTTTCCACGACTTTTTGGATATTATTCCAAGCTACCTCAGGGTAGGCATCACTTACACTGCTATCCAACTGTTTTCCTAGTTGCTCTTGCAATATACTCTTGACTTTGTTATCGCTAACTAGAACTCTGAGGGGTTTTCTTGTTGTCTTTTTAATTCCCAGAAAGGCCCAGACAAATACATCTTCGTGCTAGAGTATGATCCGAGTCTAAACATGTGTCGCAGAATGAGCGGCAGTCTTCTATCGACGCTCTCCATCGGGTGGCTGATAGTACAATGGTCTATTTGGGTCCACGTATGTCGGCTTGGAAAACATGGGTGTTTTAATTAGTAGAGATACCAATTAGATGCAGTCTTCTGAGGAATTTTGAGTGATTACACAAGAATCCTCGAGACACTTTCCCTACTCTAGGTACAAACTTTTGCTCCAGATTTAGTTGACCAACAATCAGTTTGACTGTATGCAGAGAAGTGGCCAAGGGAATTGATGTGGTATACAATACTAGATTTTGTGGGCCGGTGTGAAGAAACCTCTGCTTAGAAATTTTTACTTGATTATCGGCAACTTAGCCTACGGGGAACAAGCAGCTCAAACTTGGTTGCAAGTTCCTTTTCAAAGTAAACTTTGTTTTGGTGATCTAATATAGCTAATGGTTGCTTTCAACAACAAATGCCTACAAGAGCATTAGCATTATGTAGTGTGAATAAAATACACTCACTATTTTGCGATGCTTGTAGATTTAGCAGTGAAAGGATGGCTTATTTACTTGAGCAATTAACTTCTGACCAATGAGCAGCACCAGTAAATAGTGGCCTACTAGAATTAGTTTGAGGTAATGGTTCATACAAGCCGCAACCCACTAGTTAACAGTGCATAATTTGAAATAGAGTAATGCAAGAACCTGTACTAAACTGCAATTAGATTATTAAAAATACACGAAATACAGATTTCTCGGAATATGTTCAGTGTTAACAGTATGGAGTGACGTTTTTCACTGATGATAAGGAAAATAAATCTGCTGCTGAAAGTTATAAAAACGGCAAAGTCACATCTGAAGGACTTAGAATGGACTAGTGGTTCGAAGCCAAGGCGAAATGAGACTCAAAACCTTGTCCTAGAACGTATAACAACCAGTAGCGGTTCCAGCATTCAATACATTTTTTACGAGCTGGTATAAACCAATTGATATGGGCTCGATTCTTGTTTTATCGGTACAGTTCATGGTATATGGTTCAGAGTAGACGTTTACACACTATTTACATAGTACACTACCTAAATTAAAGCACATAGCTTAATACGCCTAAATGTCTTAAAAATAGCGTAAAAATATTCAAACAACAGGAAGTTTACTTGCTAACAACGACAAACGTATCACAAGGACCGCCTTTTAAATTAAACGAATTACCCGCGACCTCATATGAGAGTTAAAACGCACTGAAAAACAAATAATTTTAAATCAGATGAAAATTTTATAGGACTTAATAACTCCGCAATTCAGTTCATAAATTCTGTGGTTTCACAGTAATTTTAAATTCTCCATTGGCCACTCAAATGACGACTCTGTACATGGGAAATTATCTACCACAAAGTCGTTTACATTACGTACACACTCATCATGAATGGTCTCAGGACCATTGAAGAGCAGTTTTCCATATCGGAGAATGCAGCACTTGCATCACCCGAGCTTTCTGACAGACATTCTGTGGATTATGATGGACCTATAAACATATTCTACACTTGCGAATGTGAACTCAAAAGCGTTATTGTCAATCTGAGGAATGCAGTAATATGTCGGTCAACGAAACCGCAAGTAATGAAGGGTATGACGTCACTTCTTGTTTTTAAACGTCTTCCTTCATATGTAGATCACGACTCATTCCGGTAAGTCGATAGTTTTTTTATACTTACATGCTTCCATATTTAAATAACTTGTAAATTGGTGGGCAGTTATCCTAATGATAGTTCACTTTCGTGTATTTTTTAGTGATATATACATTTTAATTTGGGATTACTAGAAAATGGAAAAATATTCTTTTCTTCCGGAAGCTAAATTTTAGTCGACTACTTCGTGTTAATTACTCAGTTTCTATAAGTACATAGAAGTGTAGTGAGCAGTTTTTTTGAGGAAACAATTCATGAAATCAGTTTACGCTAAATTCATAAGGATATAACTGTGAAATAAGTCAGTTTTGCGTCTGTTAAATACTAACATATACATAATTAATCTTTATCTTGCGAAGGTGACTAAATATAAAACACGCGGAAATCACAGATACAAAAGCTTTCAGTAGCCATTTTCGGTCATTGCTTTTACTTTCAGCAGCCATTCAAATGAGACGAATACTAGTGTGCTATCGCTTTATTACACCAGTTTACTTTACAGCAACAACAAGTATATCAACAAACTTTGACCAGTATTCAGAAACAATTAGTTTCTTCAAAATCACTCTTGTCTAACAGTTTGAATCCCATCCTAATCGTCACTGAAAAGACTGCTAAGTGAACGCTTCTAACGACCCCGGCTAAATCTTCATGGTAACATAAATATAGAGGAGAAAGGGCACGAAGTACAAATCCAAAGACTGATGGTGAGGATTTAATTGACTCTCAGAATAAATCAGAAATGATTTAGTAATATCTCACTTTTTATTTATAGTCAGAAATAGAACTTAGCTCTTTTAGATACCGATTGATCAATGACTTGCTATTTGACTTGCTATTTAAAATATGATATAATTATGAATCTATAATCATTAATTAGATGTAAATACATGTCAAATATGATTAGAAAAGAGAAATCACTTTCGTATATCATTCATATTACAATGGATCAAACTATTACTCATAATTTGAAGTAATAATACCGTCTGCACTAGAGAAGTGAGTAATTCAAAAAAATGTCAAACGTAATTAAAAACTAAGAGATACGGGATAGTGAAAAACTCAAGAGCTAGAAAAAATTAATTAGTACATTCGAATTTTTACTATCGATTTCAGAAGGTGTCACTCAGAACTTGGGAAAAAAAACGCAGTGCTCCTCATGACTGTACTGCATCAGTATGTTAAGTCAAAATTGATAAGAGGAATAGCAACAGGGTCAAAACACTGTCTAGACATTAGGTATATGGTTTGAAAAAGGCAATAAATTCATGGAATAAATGTATGGAATAATGTTTAAATTCACCATTTCACGGGTTATAACAAAATTAAATCATTTATCAAACTATAAGGGAATCTGTGTCCTATCACCCAGCATTTCTACTGGTTAATAAGGGTTCACTACAAGTACATATGTAAACTATTTGATGGAGAAACTCTACTGGACAGTTTTTATCCTCATGAACTCCATTCAGTTTAATATTCAACAACTTTGTGGTGAATTGATGTTACATTCAGACTTCATTCGTTTTAATCGTTCTTTTTGCAAAGCTTCCTCTTTACATCATGGCAGCAGTGAGTTTGAGGATTGTAGATAATTTGGTATAGATGATATATATCCTAATAGAGTTCACAACAACAACAACAACAACTACTACTACTACTACCGTTAATACTACTAATATTACCACTACTACTACTACTACTACTACTACTACTGCTGTTGCAGCATTTACTGATATAAAAATGAAATTTTCGCGTAACTTATTTTATTTGCAATAAATTCAATCAGATTACATAGTCTCTATTCAAATTTCCAAAAAAAAAAAAATAATGACATCCTATTTATGAAAAAGTTTATCAGTTTTGTTTACCTTGACAAAAAATAATTCGTTTTTAACATTTTTGACAAGATTAAATTATGACATAACAGATAATAATAATAATAATAATATGGAGAGTAATAATCGGATATTTTAGTAAGTTTGACAGCAAAATAATGAGATTGTTGTTACTAGTACTCTAGTGAGATTATGTTCACGTATAAATTGGTGTGAAAAAAAAAAGATTAGTTTTCAGGATAAATTAATTTCAAATATCATTGCAGTAACAAATATTTATAATGATTATAGAATAGAAAATAGCTTATTTCAACTATTTATTATTATTAGTAGTAGTAGTAGTAGCAGTAGTACTGTTAGTTATAAATATTTTTAAATGTTTGCATTTTTACATTGTTGAAATTCAGAACGATATTTAAACAGTACACATAGATAATGTGAACTTGTTGAATGGATGCCTTGATGCCATTTGTACTTGGTTAAATGTCAAGTTTACAGTATATCATATGATATTACATGCCAGTATAGATAGATTAAGTTCAATTCTGCAAGGGAACTGTGTGAAAATTGAGACATCCACATCATATATATATATATAGTTATGTTTGCTGATTTGGTGATAACCGTGACAAAATAGCCTATTGGATGAGATTCTGGAGTTTGGAATGATGAATACTGGATAGGAGTCTCGGTATGAACATCAAGATTTGTATGGAATCACATCAAATTGATTGGTATCAAAATAGTATAATTTCAACGCTTTACTCTGTAAATTAATTGTAATATATTACTAATTTATAATCATAAAGGACTGGATTTCTTACAATCCTTTCTAGGAAAAACGTGATTCAGATACTGAAATTTATTATCGGTTTAAAATGTCTTTAAAACACTTAGGTAATACTTTGAAATCATGAATTGATTATTGTTAGACCACCACTAGAAACCCGAAAGCACAGGAAGGTCATTTCCTCCTGATAGGGGACTCATCAGCAATACACATCCATGACTCCCACTATTCTCAGGATTCGAACCCAGGATCTAAGGTTTTGCATGCGAACGCCTAACCTGTTGGTCACTGGGTCGGCATCCAAATGTGTTATGTCTAACTCTGATCAACCCACGGTGTTGAGCAACCTCATCTATAGTCTTCGATGAGCACTGCTTCACATGCAACAAGATTGAACTCCATGATCACGACTTTATACTAGAACCCGGAGAAACTTCCTCATTAAGGTAGCCACTAGTGAGAACATGATAATTTGCATTATTTGGTTATGGAGATATTTGAGTTACTCTAAAATCATGATATGTCACACACCAGGACGAAACAGCTGTCCAGTGCCTCTAAGTTTCTAATAGTGATCTAAGATTGATTTTTAAAATTTTAAAAACATCTTTATGGAAAAGATGCGTTGCAGTCGTTTGGTCGAGACTCTTTATTAAATATTCTCCGCACTCTAATACACATGAGATTTTCATCATATAGAGCAGTTGCCCTTTGAAGACAATAGATGTGGTCGAGCAGTATCGTGGATTGATTTAAATAAGACATTAACACCGTTGGATGCCCGGTCAGTGGTCAAGCGGTCGCGTAAAACCGGCGGTCCTTGGTCAGGTGCCGTAGATGCACACTGCTAATTAGCCCAATTTTAGGTCGAAACGGCTGTCAGATACTGCCATGTTACTAGTGCTGATCTAACAATGATCGATTCATGATTTGAATGATAGTATAAAAGCAGTTTGTACCATCTGTAATCTTGATAAAAACAGTTTTGTTCATTAAACTTTCTGGCAGGCTGACAATACTTACGAGTGACTAAGCTATTCTAATTGTATTGTGGATATTATAACAGCAGTTGGAACGCTACACGTTAACAATTACCAACTTAAACAAAAACCAAAGTGCAAAATAACCTTATATTTCTAATGAAAGTGACCAGAAATAATATTCTTATGATTTAGAAACACACCAAAAAAAAAATTAGCAAACTGAAAGTAGTGATAGAAAAAGCATTTTCAGTTGCTTACACCAGTAAAACCTTTAGATTATCAGTAAGAACTGATTAATCTTGTGATTACTTTATGAACAATGTAACTTCTTTTTGTATCACAGATTCTTCGTTTTTGTTTCACAAATCGGAAAAATTTTCCATAGTTAAACTTAACAATTGTTTATTATTATTCGCAAAACTAAATTTAATCATTTTAATTGATGATCTAACATTTAGAGAATAGAAATTTCGGTTTTTAACCTGTAAAACAACAATAGATTATTCGGTAATCGTTCTGAATGTATTGTTGAGCAATGTGAGCTTTAATGTTGTAGAAGACATGATTTCTTCTGAAATTCTAGTTACGACTTGTTTACCAGTGTCAACTAATATGAAATTAACTGCCTACCACAACTTTCTTTGTATAGTTTATAAACCATTTAATAAGTGAATAGCATTTCTGTCATCAAGTCCTAGTTTTAATAAAAGCTTTCGTACATTCGTAATTACCTGTTCAATCAGATTAATATTTTCATGTCTAAGAAACAAATAAATTTTATGTGCAACCATGAATCGATCAATGTTAGACCACCATTAGAAACCTGGAAGCACTGGTACGGGACTCATCAGCAACGCAATTACATGTATTAACTAGTGACTAGCTTGGTGAGGAATCTTCTCTGAGTTCTAGTGGGAAGTCGTGACCAGTGAAGTTCAAACCTGTTCGGATGTATACAGTGAATGAGGTTGCGCAACTCCGTGAATTTGATCAAGTTAGACATTAACACCGTTGTACACCGGCCCAGTGGTTTAACGGTTAGGGCGTTCGCTCACAATACCGAAGGACCCAGGTTCGGATCCTGCGAGAAGCAGAAGTCGTGGATGCGCACTGCTGATGGGTCCCATACCAGGAGGAAACGGCGGTCCAGTGTTTCCAGGTTTCTAATGCTGGTTTTACATTGATCGATTCATAGTTACAAATAAAACTTAACAATGTTACTATGAAGACCAAATGTCCTAGGTTCGATTCCTGCTTGCAAGGTCGTGAATGAGCACTGATGTTGGGTCCTATATTAGAACAAAACATCTATACAGTGTATACAAGTTATCAATGAGAATTTAACATTGATCTGTTCATGATGATTTCAATGAATGATCACACATTTAACTTTTGATTTAAGTTTGATTTAACTCTGTAGATTCAATTAATCATAAAGACTCAAGATAATAATTGATCAAGTATCAACTTAACAATTTCTTTTGAAGTCATCAATCTATCATTGTTAGACCACCATTAGAAATCTGGAAGCAGTGGACGGCCGTTTCGTCCTGGTATGGGACTCATCAGCAGTGCGCATCCACGACTCCTGCTCCTCGTTTGATTCGAACCCGAGACCTTCGGCACTGTAGGCGAACGCCTTACTATCGGACCATTGAGCCGGCATCCAACGGTTTTAGTGTCTAACTTTGATTGATCTGGGGATTTTGCGCCCAGTGGTCCGATGGTAAGGCGTTCGCCTACAATGCCGAAGGTCCCGGGTCCGAATCCTGCGGGGTGCAGGAGTCGTGGATGCGCACTGCTGACGAGTCCCATACCAGGACGAAACGGCCCCAGTCCAGTGCTTCCAGGTTTATAATGGTGGTCTAACAATGATTGATTGATGATTTCAAATGTGTAAAAACGCAAACCTCCAAAACTGTGCCCCAAAATTAATAATTTCTGTTTTCATCAAAATACTCACTGTATATAAAAAATCAAAGCAAAATTATTCATTTTTCAGTAAGTTACATCATAAATTATTTGACCAATTATTAATTTAACGATTGATAATATTTAACTTGATAGGAAATTAGATTACAAGTAGGGGAAAGAAGGAAAAAAAATAAGAAAATAAAACTTCATTCTTCGCTAACCACTGATTCAATTAGGATGGTTAATTTTTGTGACTGATTGTATGGTGTCCACACACACACACACACACACACTGATGGAATATGTACATTGTTGTATTTATTTTTCTCCATCAAAGTTATGTTATGTTCATGGTTAGTTTATATTTAATGAATATTTTTATTATTATTATTATTATTATTATGACCAATAAATAATTGGTTTTCTTCATGTATACGAAGAAAAATAACACTCAGAAAATTGATGTATAAGAGAAGTGGATTATTAATTTTCCACTTGAAAAATACACTTGAGTGAAATAAAGAACGCGAGAAACAGGCTAGAAGAGTAATAAGAAATCGTACAACTTAATTTTCATCAATGAGATTAATAGAGTTATTCATAATAACAATTCAATTACACTGTGGATCGATCATTATTATTCACACACACACACACACACACGAACACACACACACATTTAAGTCTCTTATACACATTTTAAAGTTTGTATTTACAAGTAGAAAATTGTTATTTAACCGAAATTATCAACTGAAACGGTAAAAAAAAAAGAGAGAAAAATACGTTGAGTGTTTTGATTCAAACAAAATTTGATGGGTGAAATTAGGCGACAAACAGATATATTTTTTTTCAACTGTAACAGTTAATTTAGGCTTATTTCATAGGCTGAAAATTCATTTTGAAATATTCAGTGTAAATACATGTAGACAATGATGGGTCTTATGAACTAAGTCAGTAGATTCCATTTGTCATCACATTGGATTGAGCTTAGATTTTTATCAATCATGAATGCTTAATTCGTGATTAAAAATAAGCTGAGTACTATTCGACTTAACCGTCTATTTAGACTCCTGAGGAATCAAGGCCAAATAAAATAAGCACAAACGGAAACGTCTCTTTAGTCAAATACTTCAGTCAACTTTTTAAATTATTCTGTATTGACTAGGTCACGAATAGAGTTATCGAGCTGAACAAACTGATTAGTTGATAGCTTGAGCCATCCACAAATTCTGATTGATTAGATATCGGTATGCAGAACTATTGATCAACTATTGGAATAGATCATTCTAGCTAGAAGCCCTAATCAGTAGGGTACTATCATGGAGCGCATGAGTAAGTTAGCCAAAAGTGACTATAAAACGAGGTCTGGATAGTATTGCTCATCGATTGAATTTAGGCAAACGAACCAGTGGATACAGACAGGCTCAGTGGTCAAAAAGTTAAGTTGTTAACATGAAATCTGAAGTTCGTGGATTTGATGTGTAATGCCGAGTAGCTTCGTATTGAGATGAAAAAGCTGTTTAATATTTCCTGAACATCAGTGTTTGTCTACCTAATGTCAGTTATCATTTATATACACACTACTCAACTAAATACTCTCATCGTGAGTTAATGGACAAAAATGTTTTTTTACAAAACAATCAATATTTATTTCCCTCTTTCAAAAGTATTTCATTTTGTTTTCATACACGAAACTCCATAACTCTGCTTATAGTAGCCTTTCTGAGGTTACTGCTGGTGCCAAGGAGGACGACTGGACATGGGATTAGCCATCCTATCCAGTAGAAATTCAACTCGCCTAAAGAAATGCTATATTTTTCCCTAATACAAAACTCTTTATTCATTAATTAATTACTTAATGTATTCAATGAAAATCATCCATGTTCTTTTTTACATCATTTATATTTATTTCTTCAGTGTTGAAATCAACAATCATAAAAATGAATGTAAAAGAATTGAACATTCAACTAATATTTGTTTAAATGAATCATCATCATCACCATCGCCACCATCGCCACCACCACCACCAACCACAATAACTCATCATACAATTTCACCACTACTTGATGAAACATTACCATTAGCTTATATACAAGATGTACGATTTCATATTAATCAATTAAATGAGGATGATCACAAATTATTAGAACGTTACAATGGTTTATTGATACAATTACGTAAAGAGAAAAGACGTTTTCATTATTTAACTAATCGTTGTCAAAGATTATTTAAACAACAAAATGTTTTAGAGAATTTTTCCAATCATTTATTATGGAATGTTAGTAATGAAATGAATGACTATGATGATGATGTTGGTAAGGATGAGGATGATGATGAGACTAATCATCAATCTGTTTATGGTCATGTGAATAATTCAGACTATTTGAATTATTTCAATGATCATACAACTACTACTATAACTAATATGAAATTGCATCATACTACTAATAACAATAATAATAATGATTTCCTACAGTCAAGACATTACCAGCAACAGCCGCAACAACAACAACGTCAACAAAAGTTTCGTCAATTTTATCAAAATAAATCAAATAATACAACATTAAAATCACATCGTACACGTTCATTGACACGTATGAAAAATATGATTAAAGATTGTAATGTCAAAGATAATAAGCATGTAAGTGGTTGTTACATTATATATTCATTTTCTTTGCAAGTAGTATACTATGATTCGGAATTATTGTATAATAATGATGGTTGATACGATCAGACTGCTGCTATCGGTCATGAGCGAAGTAGATCTATAGTGCCTCCACATACATTTGAGTTCACTTATATATAAGACTTATAACACTTATATATAAGACTTTCGATTAACAACATACTTAACCAAGCCATTTGTACAGCGATAAGTTGTATGTACGATTGGTTTTTACTATTGTCTGATTTGTATGAGCTGGTACGACTGAATACTGCTTACCGCCTTACGTTCATATTCATCCTATTCGCTTTAATGTTCATCTCTTAAATATCTCGATGACTCGACATTTCCCTACGTATATATACGAACATTTTAATGTTATTAATTCATTCCCCAATTCGCCAACTCGCTCGCTAGTGCGCTTGCGTTGCTCTGTGTGTTTGTGGTCTACTGGTCCATTTGTTGGTGTGTCAAAAATAAACGTATTCAACCCCTAGTGTTTGCCTTCTGATTTATAAGCGTCAGGCTCTCTTTTGTGACGATTGCCTAGACGAGCAAATTACGAAGACTAAAAATACGTTGAATATTGACTGTCACGAAACTAATGATACAGTGGTCACCACAGATCTACACAATAGAATATTAAGTGTACACTGAATAAACTTTAGATAATATTGTTTTGCTGCAATAATTTCGTCTTCGACTTCGTGATTCATTGAATGGAAGAGTTCTTTGTTTTAATATCTTCGTTATATTATATAGTTATATTTGTATAATTAATTTGTTGAAAGAATTTATTCTTTCTGATAAAAAGCCAAATGTTATTTGCCCAGTAAATTTTTTTATTTTCAGTTAAAAAAAAAGGAAGTAGATAGAACAAAATTTGAAAATTCTATTTAGTGACTGAAGTTAAAGTTTTTTTGGAGCGATCATCCATCGCTCCACAATTGCGAAATGAAATCACATTTTACTTACGTCTCTTATTCCTAATGGAACATAAGCAGCCGACAAGCATTCTCCAACCTAATCTGTCCTTGTCCTTCCCTTCCAGTTTTATCCAATCGTTATTCAGTCTTCTCATATCTGTCAATATTTCTTGGTGTAATGCGTTGTTTAGTTCTCCGATTATCTTTCAACCTTGAGGATTCCAAGTCAAGGCTTGTTTTGAGATGCAGTAGGTTACTTTCCTTAATATGATGTATTCTATGCACCTCCAACGCTTTTCCCTAATTTCGTCATCCGCTGGAATCTGGTTTGTTCATTAAATATTTTGCATATGCTATAGTTAGTTGTCTTAAAAAAACAATATAAACTGAAGAACCATTATGAACTAGAGAAAGCTTAACAGTTTTAAATGAAAATATTTATAAAATATACATATTTTTCCTCAAAACGATTGAGTAGATGACAACCATCAATTGTAATCAATGGTTTTGGATTCAGTATAGATTCTTTAAAGTATCAATGTGATAGCATCACAAGTCGAGTCAGATTGAAGCTTACAAACAACTGTGAAGAAAGATCAACTGATATTAAAGATTTACACAATAGATTCCATTTATGTGAGATGGTGGGAAAGAAATTTGTAGCTCAGGTGGATGATTGTGGTGGTGTTTCCTTTTTTCTGAGCTGGATGTTTTGGTTTTGGAACAACATCGTCAGCACAAACTTCAGATAGAAGAGGTGAAGTATTCGAATTTCTCCTTTTTTTTGACCAGCAGCTTGTTCTGTTAACCTCGATCTTGATTTGCACCATTATTTTGATTGTATCCCTTTTTGATCTGTTTCTTGATCCGATGTTTGCCTATGGTTTTTCTGATTGGTTGATAAATTGGGTCAATGTCGATGTGCTTGTTGATTGTTAATTAACCTGATGGTCAAGCTTATAAAAATACTCTGGTGTTCTTTGTGCTCTCCCCATTCAGTATTTCCAATCGAACGTGTATGTCCATAATTGTCCGCATGTATTGATATAAGCGAAGAAATGTCGTGGCATTTGACTGCTAATTGGTGTTCACTTAAACGAAGCTCAATTAATGTGGTTTAAACAGATCGCGTCTAGATTTAACTCCATATGCAGTCAGTCATAGAGGTATACAGAGAGAAATAATTATTTACTACTGATTAATTTTTTGTACTCAGTTTATATAATTATGGGTTATAATTGCTGAACAAGGTAATGAATGATATATTTGTGCGAAATATTATTTCGAAGTTGAACTGTTTATTATCACTGAAAATTTAGTTTCTTCCTTATATGTTTGTCCCAAAAAGAAAATTGCTGAATATTACAAATACATGGATAAATACTAGCTATAATCTATAAGTACAATATTCAATGTAATTTACTCTAACACAACCGATAATCATCAACCAAAAGCTGGAGAAGAAGATTGTCATAACAAAAGAAATTATACATTTCCAAAAAAAACCGATTTCGTTAGGTGCATATTCATAAATAATTCGTGATCCATGTAGAATATTCTAGAATATGGTATAACAATCATAATGTTCAAGAGTGAAGGTATTTTTATTCATTTTCTGTAGAGCAATTAAAGAATTTAACATTGAACATCAAGACAATGCATTATAAAAATCCATTAAAACAAAAAATATCAAGAATAACATAGCAAGATTGTTAAAATAATAGTTTAAAAGTAGTATGGTTTATATCTATCCTACCAGAGTTACTATTATTACCTTGTCTTTTGACCTTGTCAGCTATTCGCTTTTACCTTTATCGCTTTTAAGCCAGTATATGTGTGCACCGCTTATTTTTCTTATTACATGTCTAGCTTAGTTTCGTCTGACTATAAATACTGAGGCATGCTTTGTTACATGGGTGTCGGTTGGTTTACCTTCTCCACTTGGTTTTGCTTTGCTTTGAAGCTTTGTGTTCGCATGTCTGTCCTCACAAACGATTGCCTTAAATTAACTCATCCAACTGAATCCCTATTTGGCTTCTTATTACGACCATCGCACAGACGGGGATCGCCTAAGTTATGATTTACGGAAACTGAAGGGAAGATTTATTCCTTAGCATGCTCGGCTGTTCGTAAACACTGGAGTCAGGTAGCTGACCAGTAAAATGGCGAGCCGTACATCAGAGTCTAACGAAACCACATGTTGTATTTTTCAAATGAAACAGCAACTAGAAAAATAGGTTCTTTTGTATACTCATACACTGAAATTAACTTATGCGCTATTTATACTTTGTTTGATATTTTTAAGTTGACAAAAAATTTTCAAATAATAATTTCAACATCGACGATTTTTCAAAACTGCAAGCTTACTCTAATTTTTGCATCATGAATGCATTAATGGTACTTTAGATTGGCGAGCTACAGAGTATTTTTTCAGGTTGAAGTACAATATTAATCACTATCAATGAATATCAGTAGTAAAAGCATTGAAAACAAGAGAGGTTAAACAAATGTTTTGTTCTACTTTTGAACACCTCAGTAATTTTGCACCGATTATTATCTCAACATAATATGATGTCCACATAATCTAAAGATTCTAATCTCACTTATGAACAAGACCGTAAGTTTAACAATACCGCTTGGGCTGAATATATTATGCATGACAAGCTTGTGGAGATTGTTGAGTTACTTTTTGAAATCAAAAGTGGACAGCCTAGTACGGGACTCATCAGCAGTGCACATCCACTCGCAGGATTCGAACCGAGGACCTTCAGTCTTGTGCATGAATGCTTAACCTCTAGACCATTGAGCCGGCATTCAACGGTGTTAATGTCTAACTTGTATGAGGTCGCTCAAGACCATGGATTGATCGAAGTTAGACATCAGCACTATTAGATACCGGCTCAATGGTCCAGAGTTTAGGCATTCATGCACAAGACTGAAGGTCCCTGGTTCAAATTTGTTGGGGATGTTAGATCACCAGAACTCGCTTGATAGATGCCTTATTTTGGGTTTCACGTTTACGAGCATCGGCTGGCCTTGAGATCGCATTTATCACCAGGAAAATCCATGACTGTGATGGGCTGTTGTGTATTTTAGTGTTCTATTTTTTTGACTGCCCCAAGGACGTATAAATAAACGAGAGTTGTGTGCTTGATTGTATTGTGATTGCTGGGTGTTTTTAGAATATACTTACAACGCTTATCAAGACTTCTGTTTTGTAGTTTTGGGATTCAAGGTGGCCTACCTGGACGCTGGTAATTGTCTCGTTCGCGTTTATCGACTAAGGTGAACTCGTAATAGCTTCAAGCGTACCAAGTGACGAACATAACAGAATTCTGAGAGTAGCGGGAGTCGAGTGTGCGCACCACTGATGAGTCGCATAGTGGGATGGAACGGCCGTCCAATGCTACCTGGTTTCTAATGATGGTCTAACGTTGAGTATATTAGTTACAAATTCTTCAGTTAAAAGATGTTTAATTCGAAGTAATAAAATATTCATACACACTGAAATCATCAGCTACTCATTATTAGATCACTATTAGAAACCTAGAAGCACTGGATGGCCATTTCGTCCTGGTATGAAACTCATCACAACTCTTGCATCTCACAGGATTCGAACCCAGGACCTTCGGTCTTCCGCGCGAACGCCTCACATATGATGGTCTAACAACAACTGATCGATGGTTTCAATATGTAAAAGCATAAATCTTCATAACTCTAATTGAAAAAAAATATTTATAACCGATAGCAAATCAATTATTAATTAATATTTCATATACACTACTACTGATAACCATTCAGTGAACTATAATAACACTATTTAAATAAATATTATTTATTAATTTTTTTTCCCAGTTCAACTCTAGTGTAATCATTCAAAATGAAACATTACAACTTAATCAAATTGAAGCAATGCGTAATTTTTTCGCCTTATACACAGTACAATCTCAACAATTAGATGAAGATGCTATCAATGTTGATGAAGAATTAGAACAGTGTAAAATTACCATGAATCAATTAATAGAACAACTGGATGAAATTGAATTGTGTCGAAATCATTTAATTTCCAAGTAAGTTAATCAAATGAAAAATAAAATGGTTACGGTAGTTTGAATTATTTTTCTAGTGATAATATATATACACTGTCAACATTTATAGTTATGTCCAGGAACTATGTATGTGAATAATATTGCTTATTTATTTAGAATGAATAGAATATGGCTAGCAGTGGAATACAGGACGTGCGGTTCATCCTATTTGAGGCTGGTCGGCTGGATTTACCAGCATCTCAGAGTTGATATTCACTTCAGAACTCGAACCCAGTACCGTTCGATTTAACTGTCATTTCGTTATCCATTTAGCTACTGAGTTCAGATATCCACTCACTTATGAAATTTAATTCAATTTCAAGTGATTTGAATTATTTCATTTCAAAATGAATTAAATTCTGCTCATTGTCTTACAGAGTATACTAATGAAGCAAGTGGGGTATTTCTAAAAATCAAATATTTTAAATGAAGTTAAGTTAACATTCAATTATTTCATATATATTTTTAAGAGTCGAGTACTTTTATTTTACTACTGATTTAAGCCTTTTACTCCTAACGGAGTATGAGTAGCCAGCCAGCATTGTTCAACCTACTCTATCCTGAGCCTTCCTTCCTCGTTCTATTCAATCGCTAATCATTCTTTTCATGTCTGTATCCAATTCTCGGCATAGTTTGGTCCTTGATCTTCCTCTTTTCATTTGGCCTTAACATTTCCAAGTGAGGGTTTGTCTCGTCATGCAGTTACGGCGATTTCCATAGTGTTTGTCTTATTCACCTTCAGAGCTTTTTCCCATTTTCTTAACGAAGCGGAATCTGCTTTGTTATCTCTCAATTTATATAACCAAGAAATGATTAAACAAATACTTAATACTTTTTGAATTTATTCAGAAAGAGTAATTTGAAGAAACTTTAAAGTCTATGTAGAAATATCAATTTCGTCAAGTTGATTGAAAGTGATCACTTAATTAATATTGAAAAATATTTGACCTACTTCATTAATTAAAAGCATTGTTATAAATGATATTTTTTTTTTAAAAAATCGGTGGTATTTTTAAATTTAGAATAAATCTTATTTGTTTCATTATTACAAATATTTTTTTACTGTAAATTTTTTATGTGACTTTTATATCGTTAATTTCTATTTCTGTCGTCAGAGAACTTCATGTACTTTTAGAAGCACATTCGTCGTTGAATCCAGATTTAGAAATCACATATACAGTAGATCATGTTTCATGGACTCCTAGCTATGATATCAGACTTTCAAGCGCTACTGCTACGTTAAAAGTAAGTTAATTCTACATTTACTTAATTTTAACTTTAGTTATACAGATTTTTAATTAGTTTATTTTGCCAAATTACCCGATAAACTAAACTTTTTTGTCACTTACATTCCACTTTACCTAGTCAGAAAGATAACTAAAACTTTACTGCTAAATCAAATATAGTTCAGCACCTCAAAAACATCTGTTTCAATGTTCAATAAAAATTTTGATATATTTTCTAGTCGCTTTTTAATTAATATTATTAGATCCTGTGAATAGTTTAAGCTTATATGAATGAAAAAAAACCTTTGTGTTTTCCTGAGAACGGATCTTAAAAACTAAACAAGGTTAGTTACAAATCGATGACTTAATTACACAGTGAAGGCACATACGATTTTTCAATTAGAGTTATGGAGATTAGTGCTTGTTTACACATTTGAAATCATCAATCAATCATCGTTAGACTACCATTAGAAACCTGAGAGCACTGGATGGCAGTTTCGTCCTGGCATGGGACTCATCTGCAGTGCGCATCCACGATGATGATTTCAAATGTGTAAAAACAATAATCTCCATAACTCTAATTAAAAAATCGTACAGTGTGCCTAATAGTGACTAGCTTCGTAAAGAAATTCTCGGAGTTCTAGTTAGAAGACGTGACAAGTGCAGTTCAGCCTTGTCGGATGTAGGCAGTAACTACCAAAGACAAATAGGTGAGGTCGCGCAAAATCCCTAGATCAATCAAAGTTAGACATTAACATCGTTGAATGCCGGCTCAGTGATCCAGAGTTTAGGCTTTCGCGCGCAAGACCGAAGGCCCTGGGTTCGAGGCGCAGGAATCGTGGATGCGCCCTGCTGACTTCGTCTGATACCAAGACGAAACGGCCATCTTTCAGTGCTTCCAGGTTTCTAATGGTGGTCTAACAATTATTGATTGATGATTTCATATGTGTGAAAGCATATACGTTACAATAAGTTATATCTGTATAATTCAAAACACAATAACATTAATTCACTAACAAACTTATACGAATTCAAGTAGTATATGTTAACTGGTGAATGATAACTTATCATTCTAAAGATGCCACACGTTTTGAAGAAGAAACTGGTGTTTTTCAGTTAGATATCCTAGTGGGATAGTTATCGTGTAGTGTTCAGAAGTCAGGAACTAGATTTTATACCTCTCCTTAGTTTTAAGTGGTTGAATAGAGAAAGTCGGTAAATGTTATATAACTAATAAAGAGAGCATCTGCTGTAGACTTCTGTTCATGAACTATATGAAATGTAAATTTATTTGAACTCAAAATGACGATAGTTATACAACGTTTTAAAAGTCGACCAAAACAATTTCTTGATTATTTACATTTTTCCTCTCCTAAATTATTGACCTTCTAAGATGCAAGACAATACAATAAATACACTTGACTAAAACTAATTCTCAACAATGACTAATACTTAGAGAGTCATTATGAAACAAAAATAATAATAATGGCTGAAGCAAGCAAGATCTTTTACTGACCAAACAAATTATTTGAGTCAACTGAGCATAAATTTCATATTACTTATACAATATTTATCATAATATCAAATAATCTTATCAAGTAAACTTTAAATTTTGAGGTCAGACCATTAGAGTTTTCATGAATTTAATTACAGAAGACTAAAAAGAAAAAAAACTATTGAACCATTGAATGGTTAAATGTTCAGGTGTTAAAGCGACAAAAAAACAGACTCAGTAATCAAATAAAATCTATAAATTCCTTTAACTATAGGTAGGTAGGTTTATGAGTCACTTGATTGATCATTTTGCAGTAGACGAATAAAGTGGAACATTCTAGAAAGTTTGAGAATAACACAATCTACAATTTATCAAACAAGTTATTGTTAGTTTGCCTTGAGGTAAACAAATTATTGTTTTCGGTTAAGCTCTACATTGTATCGGTGCTTTTTTGAAAAAAAAAACAACTCAACATTTTCTTTGGTTTACTCCCGTTGGGAATAATAATAGATTTAGACATAGATTGAACAACTAGAAAAAGAAAATTGTGGTTCATTCAAAGATGGATGACAAATGAGATTAATTAAGCTGATAATGGGAAAATGTTCAATGAAAGTAATCGATAAAAGCAGTATGAAGGAATACCAAAAAGACAAAACAAGACAGGGAGGATATCAAGTTTTGCAATGATTAGTCTAGAAAAACATTAAAAAAGTTTTTGCACTAATTTACACGAATCATCAGTCAAATCAGTAATACATAGATGTAACTAAATAAAACAAAACTGAGAGGTAGAGAGCGAGAGAGAGACAGTGTGAAAAGAGCCACCTCCTAGTTGATTTTAAGTAAAAGACAATTCGGTGATAAATAACAAATCATGCCGAAGAACGAAAGAAGTATGTATTTTTCTCTTCCCAAGAGATCAGTGATGAAATAAACAGTTTGTAAAAGAAAAAGTTTCTAAACTTTCTCTATTATAAAAGTAACTTAATCTGTTTGTTTTGAATTAAAAAAGTTAGACAATGGAATATAGGATATTTTGATAGAAACTGGTTGAAAGAAACTCATTGAACAATAAAGCGTAAACATGATATACAGAGATTAATGATAGTTAGCAATTGATATACGAGAAAGCATTCGATAACGTGGAAGGGCAAACACTATGGAGGCTTGTTCGACACTAGGGCGTGCCTGAGAAGACAGTCAACATCAAACGGAATTCTTATGATGGATTCAACTGCAAAATCGTGCACGAAAGACAGCTGACAGACTCTTTCGAGGTGTAGACCGGTATCAGGCAAGGTTGCTTACTCTCACCCTTTCTCTTTCTCCTGGTCATCGACTCAATTATGAAAACTTCAACATCTGGAGGGAAGCACGGTATCAACTGGACAGCTAGGATGCAGCTGGACGATCTGGACTTCACAGATGATCTGGCTCTTCTATCGCACGCGCAACAACAAATGCAAGAGAAGACGACCAGTGTAGCAGCAGGTCTCAACATACATAAAAGAAAAAGCACAATACTTCGATGAAACACAACATGCACCAACCAAATCACTCTTGATGGAGATGCCTTGGAGGAAGTTAACACCTTTACATATCTGGGCAGCACCATCGACAGTCAAGATGGATCCGATGCAGATGTTAGGGCGCTGATTGGCAAAGCAATGGCTGCATTTCTACAGTTGAAAAATATCTGGAACTCCAAACAACTTTCAACCAAAACCAAAATCAGGATTTTCAATACAAATGTGAAGACAGTTCTACTGTTCTACTGGAGCGGAAACTAGGAGCACTACGAAAGGCATCATCCAGAAGATACAAGTATTTATGAACAGTTGTCTTCGCAAAATAATTCGGATTCGTTGGCCAGACACGATCAGCAACAACGAACTGTGGGAGAGAACAAACCAGATACGAGTGGAGGAAGAAATCAAGAAGAGGCGGTCGAGGTGAATCGGACACACACTGTGCAAAGCACTCAACTGCGTCACGAGACAAGCCCTCACATGGAACCCTCGAGGTCAAAGGAGAAGAGGAATGCCAAGGCACACATTACGCCGAGAAATAGAGAAAGATATGAGAGGAATGAACAAACATTGGACAGAACTGTAGGGGGAAGCCCTGGACAGAGTTGGTTGGAGGGAACTGGTGGGCGGCCTCTGCTCCATTGGGGGTAACAGATGTAAGTAAGTGAGTAATAAATTATCATCAACTTGGTATAGCCTTGTTCACTATTCAACTTTACATTCAAACTCATATTTGTACAATGAATGGAATGTAAGCAGTACATAATCAGTACAAATCAGTACATAACCAATGACTTACTAAATCAGCATTTAGGAAAATTAATAGATTACAGTGAGGACAACACAAGATTACTTGTTAAATTTTGATTACAAGGATAGATTTAAATAAATATTATTAAGAGACTGCAAGTAACCTTGGACAGAATCTATCGGAAAGATGTAAACGTAGCTTCGAAAAAACCAAAATCTCATTCAAGCTCCATTGAACATCCAGCCTTTTTTATTGATGACAATTTTACTTTTTTATTTGATTTTTAGATTATCTACTATGGAACTATACGTCAAAATACTGGTGAAGATTGGGAACTTGGCAAACTGACTTTATCAACCGCTGAATATGATCATTTCAATGATGTACCAGAATTGAAATTAGAACAGTTATCATATAAAACTAGTGAAAAGTTAGTTGAAAAAAAGGGATTATACTAATCTTTTATTTATTCAATTAAAAGATTATGTAAGAACTAAAGATTGTGTCGCACCACTGCTTTTGGCTCAAGATTAGTAGTATCTTAAGGAATGAAGAAGCGGCTAGGATATCATTATCAGGAGTTTCGGTAGCGGACAGATCAATATATATATATATATATATATATATATATATATATATATATATATATATATGCTAGTTTCTTCCTAGTATGAGACTAATTAACAATGCGCGTCCACGACTCTCACTCATGGGAATCGAACCCAGGACCTTCGGTTTCGCGGGCGAACGCTTGAGCACTTGAAGATTGACACGGCATCCAATGATATAAATGTCTAACTTTAACTGATCCAAGGTATTGAGCTATCTCATCTATTGTCTTCTCAAAGTAACTACCTACACCTGACACGGTCGAACTCTACTGGTCACGGCTTGTCGATGGAAATCAAAAAACTATCTCACGACCTTAGTCACTAGAGAGCACATTAGACTGGTTAAAAGTGAAACATTAACACCGTTGGATGCCAACCCAGTAGTATAGAGACCAAAAGTCCTGATTTTGACTTCCAGAAGGGAGGGTCGTGGATGTGAACTGCTGATGAGTCCCATACTAAGACAAACCGTTTGTTCAGAGCTTTCAATTTTTCAACGATGGTCTAACAATGATTGATTCACTATTTTAATCAATAGTGAAAATGTTCAATAAGAATATAGATGGTGTAGTCATATGGATTAAAAATTGTGATTACTAGTGAGCGCTAGGAACAAAAACATTCTAATCATTAGTAATGCTATTACTTTCATAAAACCAAATAACATTAAATGATAAACGTCATTGTTTACAACGTTGTTGTGTGATTTTTACCCAGTGAAAATACTATCCTCACTAGAATCTATATTTTCATACAACCAGATTCCGTGATGAATTTAAACAGAGCAGCAACAATAAGTAGCAACAGCATACGACCCCTATATTACAACTATTAAGAAATTCTTAATATACTTTAGGTTTTCCAGTTTTAAGTAACTGTTTAAAACGTAACCGAAATCATCATAATAAAAAGAACTAGGGATTACAAAGTATATGAATAAATGTAGTTAACATCGATGTATATTTATTTTTATGTCCAAAAGTAATAAAACAGAGTTAATCAGATATTGTGATTATCAGTAATAATTAATATTAAGTCTTATTCAGCTGATGACAAACTGTAGAATAAAATGTATTCATTTTATTCAGTAAATCTTTTTGCTGTTGTTGTTGATGTTGCTCTGTTTAAATCCATACTTCTTTTAAAAAATCAAAATAATGAAGTAGTTATCAAACAATTCTTTGTCAAAGTGTTTCCGCTGTTCAAGTTTCAATCTGATGAACGATGAGTAATTAAATTACACTTTGATAGCTGTCAAAAGATAAAACGTTTGGCAAGCTAATTATTTTCCCATATTTTTAAATTTATGTTGAAGGATGAACGCGTCAAGTTGATATAATTTAATGTAAATGAAATGCTATAACTAAACAGATCTTCGATGATTATTAAAGAAGAAATATTTTAAAATATCTTTGAATTAACTTCAAAACAGCTTAAATATTTTTATGTTAAAATTATTTTCTGGAATTCAACAATGTGAATAGTTTATAAAATAGTTTACATTATGAACAAAATTCATCTGGACAATCTTTAGGTACTAGATAGTACTGGATAATTAATACTTAAGAATATGGAATTTCTTATCAGTTTATGATATGCTCGTCAAATGATATGCATGAAACGATTACGAGTTCACCTTAGTCGGTAAACGAGAGCGAAGACAAATGATCCAGTGACACGATAGGCTACTCTGATCCGAGCGTCTCAAAGCATCATTAGGTAAAGGAAGAAGTTTTAACAAGAAGTAGAAAGCGTATTCTACAAGCACTCAGAAAATCTGAGGTTCACAAGCATATGAATCGAGTTTATTTAAGCGTGATAGAAACGTCGTTGGGAGAGCCACAAAAATAGCGTACTAAAATACTACACCAATCAATAACAGTCAAGGATTTTCCGAGTGTATCTGATTTCGATCTCTAAACCATCTATCACCTCCTACCTCTACTTCGTACATGATACTGCCAACACTTCTGACCACTCATGCTTCTTTTCAAGGGCCATGGATGGTCTGTAGTCATGGGCAAACACAGGACATCCCACATTGCAAGTGGATTACTTTTCAGACTTTGTCTCTACTAGTATTTATGTATTACTCGGATGCATCAGGCTGTGGATCGTTTTCAGAGATGAGCCTTGGTACTTTTGGTGTGTGGTTTCAAAGTCCAATACCGTCGCACTCAACAATCCGGTCAGGGAGATGTTGTATCACAACTCAATAATGATCAAGTAGCGGCTAAGGAAAATATGGTAATCGCATCTCTGTCATCGGAAGACCACCTGGAATGTTATCTGAAAATCCCAATACGGACATTGTCGGTGTCTGTAACAGACATATAAAACGCTTCTTGGAACAATCTTATCATCAAGATGACGATCAACTATGTCACCAAAGTGTTGGCCGTCTAAGAATTTCGATGATGAGGTCTGGGGATCTAACGTCCCCAACAGTTTAGTAGGACAGTCTTGCTGAGGATCAAACACAGAACCGTCTGGTTCCGAAATGATCACACAGCTTTCAGGGCAGTAAGTTGGTAGTCAGTATTTGACATTTCCAATTTCATTCATTGCAGTCGCCTATTGCTGAAGACCGAATTCTAACTTTCTGTTGGGGACGTAAGATACGAAAAACTCATTTGATAACGGTACGAATTTCGGATTTTATGTTTTCATGCATGGACTGATCAGTTGATTTTCAGATTACATTTCCCACTCGGAAAATCCTTGACTATTATGGAGTATAGTAGTAGTATTTGAGTATGCTACTTTTGTGGCTTTCCCAAGGACGTTTCTATCATGCATAAATAAACTCGATTTGTGCGCTTGCGAATCTCAGATTTTCTGGGTGCTTGTAGAATACGCTTTCTACTTCTTGTTAAAACTTCTTCCTTTACTTAATGAGGCCTTGAGACGCTCGAATCAGAGTAGCCTATCTTGTCACTGGATCATTAGTCTTTGCTCTTGTTTACCGACTAAGGTGAACTCGTAATCGTTTCATGCATATCATTTGACGAGCATATCACTTTCACAGTAAAATTATTTAATTTTATACAATAATCTTGATAGATTTAAAGATATTCATAAATATTTTATATTTCCTTATACTGTTTAGTGTTCAACGTAGACGTCAACGTATTGATAAATCAATAAGAAAATCAAAAGCACGTTCATTTCACGCGGATGATTCAATTGATTACCAAACAGCATCTTCATTAACCCCATTAAAAGAAATAATCACTGGACATCATCCTCATAACAATGAACGTAAAAATGAGAAAACCAATCGAACTGATCAAACAACGGTTGATTCAAGAAGCAGATTAGAATGTCATCTGTTAAATGGCGGCAATCATCAGAGATCGTCATCAACTCAACGATATTACACAGTTAGTAGAACTGTTAACTAACTACTGTCTGCTGAAATTTGAAAGTGGAATTTTTAATTTAAATGAAAATCTTTTCCACTAGTCCTTAAAAAAAACTAAAGTTCAGATCTGATAGATAGAATCATATGATGTTCGTACTCTTTTTTCAACTAGATTAAAGAGAATTTATTCTAATTAAAATATGTTAGGCTTGTCGAAAATCTGTGGATCTTAGATTTGATTATAAGCTAGGCATTTTCAAACTAAGTTGATATATAGTATAGTTTCATTTTGAAAGTTTTCAGTTAAAGCTGCACAACCGAAAAATTCAGCTCAGGGTACGAAACTCCACCATAAACATCCACTTGAGCTACAAATTTACTTTAACCTCTCTAATTAAATATATTTAATTGTTATCCGACAATCATTAATTTATTTAAGAAAATTAATTTCAAAATGGGAAAAAATCAACAACTCTTTCCTACAAAATAATGATATTCACTGTAGGGTTGTGGAGATTGTTGAATCACTTCGAAATCATGCATTAATCAGTGTTAGACCACCATTAAAAACCTGGAAGCACTGAACGGCCATTTTGTCCTGATATAGGACTCATCAACAATGCACATACACGACTCTCGCTGTTTTCAGGAATCGAACACAGGACCTTTGGTCTAACCTGTTAACGCCTAATCTGTAGACCACGGAGTCAGCCACCAACGATGTTAATGTCTGACTTCGAACAATCAGCGGTCTAGCGCAATCTCATCCACTGTCTTCGGTGAGCAGTGCTTCACAATCGAACAGAGTTGAGCTCCACTGGTTATGACTTTTAACTAGAACTCGGGGAAACTTCCTCATAAGGCTAGCCACTAGTAAGCTGATGATAATTCTTATTGCTCACTGTTGAGGAGTAGTCCTATACCAGGACGAAACGGTCATCCAATGCCTCCAGGTTTCTAATGGTGGTCTAGCAGTAATCGATTCGCGATCTCAGAATTAATAATTATTAAAAGTTTTGAATTATTATAGTATGAAATCTGTGAATATATAAAAACTTTACATATTCAAATAAAAAATTAAGAAATATAAACAATAAAATATTGATAAAAATTTATTAGTAAATAATATTTGATCAAAAAATACAAAGAATTTTTCTCTTCAATCCAATGATGCATGATAATTCAATAAGAGTATCACGAATTTCTTCTGAACACATAAACTGAGGTTGAATGTACGCATTCCTATGGTTTCTGCTATATATGTAGGAGACAGGATCGAACTCCGTTTGAAAAGGATGGAGGTATATGATGGTGGTTATATTGTAGATAAATCTAGATCGTCTCGAGTGATCTGTCATATACCTTCATCAATTAAATAAGAAACTTTATAAATTAAATAAAGCTAGAATAATAATTAAGGCAGAATAATATGAATTTATTAGATTTCATGGTTTCTAATCCATTGTTTACAACCAACCGTATAAACTAATAAATTGTAACATTCATCTATGATATAATGCGAATTAATTGACTGTGATAACCCGAGGGTATTAAATTATCAAGGATTACTAATAATGACAACTATGTTTATATTTATTTATGACGTCGAAGAGGCAACGGCGAGTGTCCCTATCTCTATGAGTCCGTACTGTCCCGTGTAGTCTGACAGCTTATAAGCGACGTGTCTGCCGGGATCCAGTCTAAGAGAGCTTGTTCTGCCATAGGACATAATACTATACCTACGCCAGCGTGGCCATGGAAAGCAGCATCAGGGCTACCTGAAACACGAACTGTAAACTGTGTTGTGTCTCTATATGCACTGGGTGAGATCAAATTGATGATTTTACTTAGATCTTGCATGCGCGTTTCGGAGACGCAACATAAAACGATTGCACGGGATTCCAGAGTTCTAGCCAATGAAGCCTGTTGCCCTATTTGGAATATGGTTCGAATATTAAAGGCTCCTATATGTAATTTAGTACGGGGTTTCAAGAGACCAGAAATAATATTTCGAGAGCTGAATCGGTTTGATTTAGCGGCGCGAGGTGACAGACGATCGAAAGAAGGGTTGGTCGAGGAAGTATGAGAGTTATTAGGAGCAGTTGGAAGGATTTGATTGTGACCGATTTTCTATGGTGTGCTTTTATGTATATGAGGGCGGATGTTACTTCCTGGCTCTACCCATACCATGGAAGGGTTCTGGTTGTTGGAAGAGGCGTCGACCTCATGACTTCCGAAGGAACTCGAATTTCATCATGATACGTCATAACTCTTCTAGATGAGGACGTTCTGACTCCCAGAACGGACTGTATAAGGTTTGAATAATTTTTTTTGTTAGCATTCTTTTGGCAAGTTAGTTTTTTGCGGAATGGGGTCGCCAACCCTTTTCTTTTTAAGTTTATTTCACTAGATTCTGATTCTTGAATAATATCTCCGAACCCTAAAAATAACAACAATAATAGTTGCAATAATTAATAGTGAGAATCACCAAAATATCATCGGTAAATTAATCGCCATCTCGTTTTGAACGCATAAATCAGATTTAAGTTTATTAATTGCTACTAGTTCGTCAACTTGAAGAGATGTTGCGACATTTTGTTGGAAAATGTACACCGATATCAACTGAATGTCAGACTATCGCACTCTATTGAGAGTTTTTTCAACTCACAGTCTCAAATTTTTAAGAATGTACTCGGAAATGTGAATATCTACTCTTGCCTCTGTTCTTCTCATGTATATTTATGCTTTGACATGTACATGTGAATTGGTCAATGCAGTTGAAGGTATTTGTTTTTTTGAATTTATAACCTAACTACTTAATTTTGATATAAGTAGATACAATTTCAAAATGTTTTATTTTTTAGAATAAAAATGAAAATCAATCGAGTCATGATTTAGATTGTACTTTGATTCGTCATCCTTCATCATCATTAGACAGTGTGGTAATGAAACAAGACAGTGGAAATAAGCCATTCTATATGCATAATAATTATTCATTAAAAACAGGAAAATCATCTACCATTAATAATTTATCCGAAATATCAAATAGAAATTATTTTCCATCACTCGCATTTGAAATACCGAAACCACCAAAATATATAAAAGGTAATGGTGAACCACATCGTGTCACTATTGGTACATTGGAATTTAAACCACAATTACAATATGTGACAATACCGAAACAAACACCAAAAGCATTTCTACGTGCTACAATGCATAATCTATCTGAATTTGCATTATTAGAAGGACAAGCAAGCGTGTATATTGATAATAATTTTGTTGGAAAAGTAAGTAGTACAATGAATGTATGTATCATTGTTTCGCATCATATTAATTTGTTAAAATGATGGCACTTTTTAAATCAAAATATGTAATTACTGAAAATAATAATTAGTAGTAAAGTGTATGTTCGTGAAAAAATACAACAATATACACCATCATTGTGAGTTACCACTGTTGGATAGGTTTAATCATTAAACCACTCGAAACACTTGACCATATATAAAACTGAACATATTGACACTACCTACTTTGTATTATTCAGAAGAGAATGTAATAGGCTATGGTAATCCATTTTGAGTAATACCTATGGAGATGAATGAAATACAGCTTTGATTCAAGATCTACAAACTTCGATTAACAGGACAATATAAACATCAAATTGGTCATTTTATTGTGACCTTAGTTATTTTGAACAGATACTCATAAGTAGTCGTGTTATATCAACAAGTGAACTGCACGACCGTTTTGTCCTAGTATAGGACTCATCAACAATGTATGCCTATTACTCCCGCCGACGGGAATCAAATTCACGACCCTGGATCTTGAGCGTGAATGCTCAAAATCTAGACTACTGAGCCATATCAATAATATATTGAAAAAACTTTAATATTTTCATTATAGAGTTATGGAGATTAGTGAGTTTCTTTGGAGTCTCTATAACAAAAATCATACATAACATGTGGTCAACAATGACTAGCTTTGTGTGGAAATTCTCAGAGTACTAGTAAGAAGCCATGACCAGTGGAGTTCGAACCTGTCAGGTGTAGGCATCAACTACCAAAGGCAATGGATGAGGTTGCGTAAACATCCATAGACTGATCAGAGTAAGGCATTAACTCTGTTAGATACCGGCTTGGTGGTCTAGAGGTTGGGCGTTCGTGCGCAGGACTGAGGGTCCTGGGTTCGAATCCTACAAGTAGCAGGAGTCACGAGTGCGTACTGCTGATGAGTCGTATACTAGGACAAAACGGACATCCAGTAGTTCCTGATTTCCAATGCTGCTCTAACAACGACTGATTCATGATTTCATTTTCAAATTTAGTGAACATACTATGTACTGATTAACCATAAATAATTCTCGCAATAATCAATAAAATTACTTGTCATCCTATTGAATTAATCAAATAGTTGGTTTTTTGATTCTCATACAATCACTTTTGTTTCGAAATTTCCGCCCTAGACAAAATTATCTGCAACAGCTGTACAAGAAGAATTCACATGTGAATTAGGCTATGATCCGGGTATACGTGTAACCTATATGCCAAGACATAAATATAAAAAAACTGGAACATTTCTTGGGAATAAAACCATGTCCATTATATTCAAACAAGTTATCTCAGTGGAAAATAGTTATTCAAGAAGTATGAAACTTTTAGTGATTGATCAATTGCCAGTTAGTAAAGAGGATAAAGTCAAAGTAAGTAGTTTGATGAATTAAATTTTCCTTATTTTATATGAATTCTTATTGTTACCATCGAAAACATGAAAAGATCGATCACGTTGTTGTTGTTAACCGTAGAATAGACTGAATTCAAACAGTAATATGATACATAGAACTTGTCGTTATATTATAAATTTTGAAATCATGATTGAATCATTGTCAAACCACCATCAGAAACCTGTAAATACTGAACAGCCATTTCGTTTCCGACTCCTGTTACTCGCGGGACTCGAACCCTGCACCTTAGGCCTAGCTCGCCAACGCTTAGCCGCTGGACCACTGGGTCAGCATCCAACGGTCTTAATGTCTAACTCCGACCAATCTGGGGATTTTGCGCGACCTCACTCATTTGTCTTCGGTAGCTACTGCCTACACACGACAGGGCTGAACTTCATTAGCCGTGGTTTCTAAGTAGAACTTTGAGAACTTCCGTACGAACCTAGTCACTAGTGAGTACAATTTTTGATTTCGAATGATAGTATTACAGAGATCGTTGTTTTTACACGTCGAAATTATGAATGCATCATAGTAAGGCCACTATTACGGAAGAGCCGTCCAATGCTCCAGGGTTCTGATGGTGATCTAACAATGATTCATTCATGGTTTCAATGTGTAAAAACAACGATCTCCTTGATACTAGATTATGAAATATTTTAAGCGAAAAATCAGATGATATTTGTGTTAAATTATGGGTTATAACAATACAGATATAAGCGAACACTATCGTTTTCGATTAGATCGTCATCAGGCTTAACTCTGATATACATGAATATTTACATGGAAATGTTAAACCAATCAAAGCAATTTGAATCAATAACCACAATGAAATGAAATAGATTACGTCATTACACATAATGGGGACAAGTACAAGTTGATAGTAGGAAGACAGGTGTACTGATGATAGTAGTAAGAAAAATAAAATACGATAACGAAAGTTTTATCAATAGTTCAACATTAGAGATAGTAGATCATACATGGATAAACAGACTTAAAATACTCATTACGAAACATTAAAACCACCACATAATAAGAGGTGTGTACATAATTAAATAGTGAAGAATATGAACGGGAAAAGGTTACTTAAATTTTCACCGATTAGTCTATAAATAATATGTTTACTAAGTAATTGAAATGTGCTACTTTTGTCTACATGAAGAGTCGTTGAAGTGCTCCGCCTAAGAATTCCCTACTAAGTACACAACATTAAACAGTAAACTTCAATAATAAGTAATTGCGTTATTTTTAACTATTTTGGTTATTTTTTTAAATATTTACAAGGTTCAACTTATTGAACCATCAATTAAAAATCCCGATAAATATGATCCAACAAAACCGGTAAGAATAAGTAAAACAAAATTAGTTGAATGGGATATTGAACTTGCTCCATGTAAGTGAATTATGATGATATATTGTAACTATTTGAATTTTATTTTTAATTCATTGAAAACATTTAATTCAATTTAAAATCATTCAAATTATGACCAATTTTCTGTTATTGAAAATAATTCTTAAAAACAAAAAGTATAATCTTGGATTTAATAATGAATAGAAAAGTTTTACAACACCAATACCTGAGAGAGAGAGGTTAGTTGTTCTTATTGAAAGAATTTCAGTCAGATTCAATGGTAGTTAAAAGAATTTTCACAACATACAGATTGATAGTATTATGACAACAGGTATGCTAACACTAATGAGCCAGTTGACACACTGCACCGAAATGCATAGTGTTCGGGACAACCGAATAGGGTCAATAGACTAGAATATTTACGGCTGCTTCCCCAAAAGAATCGTCCAGGGCTGCTTTCAAGAAAACTGGAAGCCTTTATCCATTTTAAATTATTACCTAAGCCAGATGGACGGGATTCAGACTTAAAGGCCTTCAGTCCCAATCCCTACAGAGTGGCGAACCCGCATCCACTGCCTCGCGACCATGATGAACACGTACTATTATTCTGGACGATGCTAGGCACCGTATCCTAAGCGTTCGGAGCGACCTTGGTTGCAGCACCGCCACGTTTCTAGCGGGACCACGAAGAAGTAGTCGTTACCACAACCCCCAAAAGGCTCTATTTACGCACGTCACCATATATGCTCGCACAAGAATACATACATATCGGTTATTTCTGATCACGTCAAACAATATGCACTGCATAAACAGACCGACTGTAATTAGATGACAAGGCATTTGGGTATCTTTGAAGAGTCATAAATAACTAGATGGTGAGAAATATCTGATCAGAGAGAGGTTGAAGAAAAACAACTGAACAAAAGATGTGGAAAATAGTGATATTCATTAGTAATATCGTTTGCTAGGCCTTTCCTGGTGGAGTGATAGGGGTGTTACAGAAGACCACAGTTTAAATCACTGTAGCTTTGGTCGTGTAAGAGACAAAATCAAACCCCGTTAAGAAACGATATGATTTTGTCTTATCTACCTCGAGCTCCTATGTGAAGGTAGACTTTCTGATTTATAGCAGCTGAAACTCAGGGAAAGTATTTGATTGATGTTCTTGTTATTGGAAACTGTACCCAACAATTGGTAATTTATAAATCATAACTTTTGTGGTGATACGGCGGTCACGATATTATTCAGTCATTCAGTACAAACACGATATTAACTTAGTCAACATTACGACTACCTGTCTTGATGAAGAAGACATCATGTTAGTATCTTGGATTACCAGAAGGTAATTGCATGTGTATGGAATGAGAATAAGTCGAACTATTGAAAATACGAGTTCCGATCCTTGCTTAGATAATTAATCTAATTATTCATTTCAATCCACCCATAACTGTATTTGACTTGCACATTTAATTATGTGCGAAGTAGACATTTCTTTCATTCAATTCGTCCATTCTATATGATTTCCAATTTGAATTTTACTTATCTGTTGAATACTAGAGAACGACTCACTCAATTTACCAACAATATGCTAATTCCTTTTTTTTCATGATGAATTGGTGTTAGAACGTTTGCTAACTCACATTGATAACAAGTCTTATATTGATTATGACTGACTGAAACTTACGTAAGTAAATATTTATAAATATCTATGAAGATATCGGGCTTAATAATAGAGCGCTTTGATGAATTTTGTTTTAAACAAACTATAACAGAATAAAATCTAATCAAGCAAATTTCAATCGGATACGACAAGCTAGACAGCCAGACAGCACTAAAATCTTTTGCAATCCAAGTTCAGTGATTCACGGTGTAATGCCTTCCAATTTAACAATATACAACTAATTGTACAGTACTTAATAATCTTATTTGGATTCAAGGCTTGATGGAATTTTAATCCTAATGTTATTGGTCAATTACTACCACAAATAAGTAACGGGGAGAGTATCGCCAGATAAGAAGAACATCTGTCTGTCTACAAGCAACCGATCTAATTGTTTTTATTTGTTTACAGATGAATCACGTGAACTTGTTTTAAAATATCTTGTCGAATATCCAGCCATTAAAGATATTGATATTTCATCATTGGGAATACGATAATGTGAATGGGTATTGGAAGCGATATAATCATGAATACGAAAAATGCACGATAAACCATTGGAAAGCTGCTTGTTTTACGAATTTTTTTTTTTCATTGACACGTCAAATTTTTTTTTTTTTAATACTGAATACAGCATTTTTATAGAAGTTTCACCTTAATCGTAATAAGCCATTATTATCTAAACATTTTAAAACATAACAATATCGTTTTTTGTACAGAAGAAATTCTGTTGTCATATTCATTGCTTATATAATATAAATGATTTTTCTTTTCCTTTGTTACATAAACATTATTTAATTTTATTGTCAATATACTTGCAAGAGAATATATAAAAACCTTTTATATTTTTATTTATAAGAACCAGTAATAAATAAATCAATGTATAAATTTTCAATAATTGGCTGGAATTCATTAGTCTACATTGACAACGAGACAGCATTCAATTGCGTGGACAGGACAACACTAAGGTGTCCTTGAGAAGATAGTCAAAAACCATACGGAACTCTTATGATGGATTGAACTGCAAATTTGTGTGTGCATGGAGGAATCGTTCTAAGTGAAGATCAGTGTAAGGCATCCTTACTCCTGGTGAGATCGACTGGATTGTGAAGACGTCAATATCTGGAGAGAAGCACGGTATTCAGTGAACAGCTAGGATGCAACTGAACGATCTGGCTCTTCTATCGCGCGCGCAACAAAAAATGCAACAAGAGATGACCAGTTTTTAGCACCAATGGGTCTCAACACACAAAAAGGGAAAAACCGAGATTCTCCGATATAACACAAAATGCATCAACCGATTCACATTTGGAGATGTCTTGAAGGATATAAAAACCTTTACATATCTGGGCAGCATCATCAATGAGCAAGGTGTAATTGATGCAGATGTGATGGCGCGGGTAGGCAGGGACAGTGTTTCTACAGCTGAAGAGCATCTGTATACCCAAACAACTATCAACCAACACCGAAGTCTGAATTTTTAACACAAACGTCAAGATAGTTCTACTGTATGGGGCGAAAACTTGGAGAACTACGTAGGCCATCATCCAGAAGGTACAAGTGCTTATTAGCAGCCGTCTATGCATAATACTCCGGATTCGCTGGCCTGACACTATCAACAAAAATCTACTGTGAAAGAGAACAAATCAGATTCCAGCGGGGGGAGTCGATAGGATACACATTGAGGAAAACACCCAACTGAATCACAAGACAAGCCTTCACTTGGAATCCTCAAGGTCAACAGAAAAGAGGAACACCAGGCAACACATTACGCTGAGAAATGGAGACAGACATGAGAAGAACGAGCGAAAATTGGATAGAACTACAAAGGAAAACCCATGACAGACTGGTTGGAGAATACGAGTAAGCGACCTACGCTCCATCGAGGGTAACAGGGACAAGTTATTGAAAATAGCAACTTTTTTTTGTTATCCAGGACTGTGAGTAATGACTGAACTCTAATGATTAAATACACAGTGTGGATACTCATTGATATAATAGTTAAAGTAAGTCGCTACATAGCTCCAATCATAGATTTATTATTGGATCGCATTTTATAAGCAATATCTAGTCTACTAGTTCGAATTTCAAAAGTGGAGACATCAATTTTATACACAAACACAAACATGAGTTCGAGATTTTCTGTGGTTTGCATCCATTCACCTGGTACAAGCATAAATTAGTCGCTAATGATTTCAGGTTATCGAATATAGGCCAAGTAAATAATGTGTCTTGTTAAAATAATCAGGTTTTCAAACTCGGAATTCATAAAGGTGAACATGACGGCTAACATTTCGAAGGTAACTGACAAGTGTATCCTGTGTTCTTTACATTGGTGCCATCCGATTATTCTTTATAAATTAACTGATAGAATATAACACAAATTTCTTTACAGACAACTTAACATAGCATAAACAAACAATTCATCCTGTAAATGTGAATAAGTTCATTAACTTTTATTAGTGTTTTTTGCCTTTATTCGTTAATATATCATACAGTTTTAAGTGGTAAGTTAATATGTTCACCGTAATATTCCCTCCTGATTATGTACTACCTCATTCAGTCAGTCATTTACAAGGTAGAACTTGATACATACATACATCAGATCAAGTCGCCATACCATATTAGCACACAAAGATCAAATTGTCAATTCGAATCCGATAGTAGTAGGAATAGTAGAAGTATTAGCGGTAATCAAAAAGATTGGTGATCGAAGATATCATTCGAGAAGTATATCGCAGAAGGATCAATTTAAAAGAAAGCGAGAAAAGGTCCTGGCAAATTCAGATTAGGATTTGAGGGAACACTAAGAATGGATGTATCTGGGCCACTGTAAACGATTTTAAGCCATGTAATTCAAAGTCTCTAACCATCGGCTGTTGTTGTCTCGCGGACCCCAACCTGCTAGTCTACGCCTACTAAGATGGCTTAGTCTAGGTGTTGGTTACTTCATCGATTTGTGCCATATTTTGATTTCTTACACCCTTCTCCTAAGTCATAAAACGTAGCTCGTCGAGGCGTTCTTAACACATTTTCCAACCACCTCAACTGATGAAGAATCACTACTTCATTAATTGATCTGCCATCCTTACTTAGTACCCCTTTCCCAACAATAGCACTGCTTACTCAATATTCCCAATCCTTTGAAGACACCGATGATCAAAAACCAGTAACCTACGAATATGTTCTACTCTTAGTGAGCATATAGTAGGACAAAGCGAACTGATGCGCAATAGGCCCGTCATTTGGTTAGTAGACGGATATCTCGCCTATGCTGTATAAGTGACGCAAGTCGGCAGCATCATGTAATACCATCTAGAAAACTTTAGCCAATCAGAAAAGAGAAAACCAAATTCATTACTCTAAAAGCAAATAGAGTTTATTATCGAATTCGGGGGAAAAAGCGAGCGAGCGAGCGAGAGAGAGTAATAGGTCAGTGTGTGTGTGTAGGTGAGAGGCAGAGACAACAAGAGAGAGACTCCTCAAGAAAATTAACAGCTAAACAAATTAGATCATTCTTTTTTTTCGAATATAATTTTTACAAAAACAGAAATAGGAGTTATCAGCATTACCACACACACACACACACAAAATAAAACGTGTGAGAATAAAATAGAATCAAAAGCAAAAAAAAATATATACTCGACGGAATAATTCAAAGCAAACCGATGTGGGAAAGAAAAAAAAATTTATTCTTTCTAGTAGAAAATATTTGTTCAGTAGTATTTATAGTATCTATCTATCTATCTATCTATCTGTCACTTTCTTGTATCATTTAAGGATGTGATGTGTGACATGGAATCAATCAATCAATCAGTCAATCAGTCAATCCATGGAATGAATTTACACACAACAACACAATAAACACCATAATCAATGATACACCACAACGAACGCATACACATTGAACACACACAGATATTTTGTTTCGAAATAATAATAATAATAGTAATAATAAATTGGTTGAGATGATTGATTGATTGATTGGTTGGTTGACTGGTTGACAGATAGAAGATGATGATGATGATAGATGAATTGGCACACAATTTATTTGTTTGTTCTAGTGCAGCATTAAACTAAACCGAAACCTTCCGTTTGTTGAATGGACATGGATAATTTTTTAGCTAATATCTCTTTAGAACTATACATTGGCAAATCTAATAGATTGGCGCATGTATGTGCTACTGGTAGAAATTCATCACCACTATTGTTTGGTTGAATTGTAATCTATGAAAGAAATAAAAAACAAAACAATAGTCATGATCAAAGTATCCGTACAGTACTTACTTACTTGTGCATAACAAAAATATGCTCAAACTGTAAAAAAAACGAACGGGGGGTTTTTGAGAAAGTGTTCCTACAGGATCTTGCGATCTTACAATCTATTGGAGTTGTTTGTATATCAAGGAAAATATGATGAGATTGCAAAAGATTTGGGTAAATTACTCGGACATTTTGGTTTTTATAAGAGACAAGCTAAGCGTAACAGCATTTTGCGTCTGATATGTTCAATCTGATTGGTGGTTGCTCAAGGCAATCAGCATAGTATAATTTCAGCGAGAAAATATTGGGAGTGTTTTAACGAATTGAATTTCTAGGAAAATTGTAACATTTGCAACTATTCTACGGAGAATCATTTCTTGTAATTTTAATGGTGACATTTTAAGATTGATTATTGTTAGTCGAAGTGTATCAGTGATCAAAGCATTGGACGTTAGTTTATGGGTAAGAAAGTAAACTCAGAGTAGAAAGTTACAGATTCGGATAGTTATTTGCACGTCTTCTCTAGGCACATGCTAGAAAAGTTGTAGGAAAATCAGAATTATAGGAATGCTTCAGAGTTTTCAAAAGCTGGAAAAATCTTGAAAATAGCATTCAATTAATAATGACTAGGAACTTTTTATGAGAATAAACTCAAATGGTAACACAATTTTGAGGAGTATTAATTCCTGAAGTTCTTCTAAAGGAAAGCCGTGACTAATGAAGATCAGCCATGCTGAGTTTAAGGTAGTTTCGCACCAACAGAACTGGAATATGGCTACGCAATAAATATCATGGATTAGTTAGGGTTAGAAATGTAATTCAATGGATATCGTAAACCGTGAACAAATAGTTAAGCGCTTGGCGCGTGATCATAAAGTAGATTCTCTGGTGAAGTCCTAGCTGCGCAGTCACACAAATGAAAAACCAATGAATTTGTAGCCCTTTATGTTTCACATTGAAAAAAATTACTTTTCAATACAGAGAAAGATATGATAAATTTTATTTCCGTCTAGGCCAGTGAAAAAACTATGTGTAATTGACAATATGAGGAAATAAATTTGCATAACACGCTGAAAATGCTAGACATATTTAGAATTGAAGTGAAAATAAATCTAGGCGCATTACATTACACTACTACTACTACTGACCTTTACACCACTGAAACCAACAATTGGTACACGATCACAACCAGTAAGAAAACGTAAGAATTTCTTTTTCTCTTCAACAGTAAAATCATACAGTAATACATCCCAAAACCATATAATCACTGGATGTCTATCCCAATAGACACCTTGATATGTTGTATTCTGACGAAGTTCATCCCAGTTGACTACTTCTGAACCGACAACTAAAGACTATAATGTAAAAGAATAAAGTATCAAATATTAGTTTAATCGGATGAATAACTAGTAGTGCATAAGCTTACATATACTATTTGAGACTAGAGTGATTGTTTTACTATTTTGTGATAAACTAGTGTAGCAGAAGCATGGGCGACTACTGGATGAACGGATACACTATTCAGAAACATTAGGAAAAACAGATTATTAAATCAGCTAGTCTGCTTACTTCTTGCCGAGAAATCTCATGGTGGTATTTCGACAAAATAATCAACTGTAACATGAGTTCCGTTTCTTTTTATTTCGATGTACACAATACATCATCTCATTTATCGGATGACATGAATTCGTGTCATCGGTTTCAAGCCATAATTTAGATCTGAGCACGCTATGGACACTAGCTGAATAACAAAACGGTAGTAGGCGGAGTATAATAACTTTACAATTTGAAACATACAGCTGTAACGATGAAATAACTACACCCATTTAGCTAACAATTTCATAAGAATGCATATCACAACTTATTAGAACAGTCAGTCATTTACAACGTAGAACTTCGTACGTCAGTACATTAGTTCTTGGTGCCATACCACATTAGCACAGAGACACAATTGTCAGTTCAAATCCCATAGTGGTAGAGATGGTAGAAGTTTTACTGGTAATGGAGAAGATTAGGGTTCGGAGATATTATTCAAGAAGTATACTTGCGTGAGATAACTTTAGAAAGAGAAATGAAGAGGTGATGACGAATTCAGAAGGTTAAAATTCCATAGAACACAACGAGTGGATACACCTGCGCCATTGCAAACGATTTTGAGGCATGTCGTTCAAGGTCTCTCTAACCCGCGGAATTCAACCAGGTAGTCTGCATCTAACAACATGAATCAGGCCACTTGTTAGTGACTTCATGGATTTCTACCGTGTTTTGGTTTGGCCGCCCCTGGCTTTCTTACAACCTACTACTGCGCCACAAAACATTGCTCGCCGAGGCAGTCGGTGGTTGAACATTCCATAACACATGTCCCAACCACCTTAACTGATGAAGTGTCAATACTACATTTATTGATCTACCATCCTTATCTAGTACCCGTTTCCTAATGATAGAATTGGTTACTCGCTTGTTTTAGGATACACGAGCAATGCTTCGAAGACATTCTATGATTGAATACCAGTAACCTAAGAATATCTTCTACTCTGACTAGCCATGTTTCGCATCAATATAGTAGAACAGTGCGAACTACTGAGCAGTAGACTCGACCTTTGGTTACTAGAACAATATACTATTAAACATATATGTAAACGAATAAAAACATTCACAAACACAGAACTCAATCTATGACAAATAGAATTATTAGATTAAAAGAAGAGAGAAAATATTGTCACAGAAAAAACAAACAAACAAACCTGTAATTCAGATGGTTGAAATAATTTCAATGAATAACCACCGCAAACTTGAAGAAATCCTTTCTCGAATGCTTTATATGGTATTTCACACGATTTATCAAATACATATTCAACGTATTTTTTAACATATAAACTTTTATTATCTTGATTGACAGTGATATTTTCACCATTTTCTATCAATGGTATAGTTTTATTCACACCGAAATAATCAATTGTAACCTAAGATGAAGTAAATAAATAAATATACAGATAGATAGGAGAAGAAACTACAATAATTTTGATCAATGAATTTATTTGACAGAAAAAAAGAAAGGCGGTGCAGATTGGTAAGGCTTTATTGAAATCATCAATTGATCAATGTTAGAGACTAGCAGTAAAACATGGACACACACACTAGACGGCTATTTAGTTTTAGTATGGAATATATCAGTAGTGAGTAATGGAAATTATCATATGTACGTACTCACTAGTAACCAGCTCCGTGAAGAAGTTTCTCCCAGTTCTAGTCAGAAGTCGTGACCAGCGGAATCCAACCTTGTTCGAGTGTGAAGCACTGCCTACCAAAGACAGTGGATGGAGGTTGAGCGAGATCACGGTCGAAGGTCCTGGGAGCAGCGGGTTGCCGTGCGCAGGGATTATGGTAGCGCACTGCTCATGAGTCGTCTCATACTAGGACCAAACGGCCATCCAGCGCTTCCGGCTTTCTAATGGTGGTGCGGTCTAACATTGATCGATTCATGATTTCAATAATCAATTCGTGCCAAGTAATATTGCTTTTTATGATAACTGAAAATGTTTAATGAATTTTAAACGTAGGTTATTGAATACTATTTTTTATTTGACAAGTAAAATTTTAATATCACACCGTTTTCGAAATACGTTTAAAAAATGGTCTAACTAAAAAAGTCTAACTATTAAAAATAAAAAAGAACAACAAAAGATGAGGACATATTTGCACAATATTAATTTAATATTCCCATATAAAGTCAATTACTTCAAAACTCCGATAGGTTATTATTGAGTCATGCATACGTAGTGTTGAATGCATTTATAGGCAAGCTAACACATGCAAATATACAATTTGCTTGTAAGTTACAAAAGCACCAACAAGAGTGTTGTTAGGATATTCATCAAATATCATAAAGAAATTATTTTATAAGTCTAATTCAATTGGTCAATATTTAAGGTCGGCTTTTGAATGTTGTTACCTATTGGTTAGTATTCACGGTCGACCTCAATGTAAAAAATATGCATTGTCTCTCCTTCTTTTGTAAAAAAAACCTCATATTTTCTAGTTGCTTGTAGAATACACTTTTTACGCTATATCAAGACTTTTCGATACCGTTAGTCGGGTCTTAGGACGCTCGAATTAGAGTAGCCTACCGTGTCACTGGATCACTTTTGTCTTAGCTCTCGTTTACCGACTAAGGTGAACTCGTAATAGTTCAAGAATGTCAACTGACGAGTAGAACAAGCGTTCACCTAATTGAATCTGTTCTACTTATTAAACAATGAAAAAAAGAACAAGAAACAAAATCTACCAACAAACAAACAAACTCATATGAAGTTGTTTTACTTTGAAAAACAACTTACAGTGAAATTCAAACAGAATACATCAGCCAAATCAGCATTTTCATAATCAAGTAATTGTTGTAAAGAACGACCAACAACTGGATCTAATTCTTTTAAATCATCTAATCCTGGTTGTTCACCAAGTAATTTACGAAACATTGCTAATGGAAAACTTAAATCAACAATAATTGAATTGTAAATAGCTAAACCGCATAGAATACCAGCCATTAAGAAGACATTATCACTTTCCATTGTCTGTAAATCAAAGAGAAATGCAAGAAATGAATACAAGCGAAATCAATGAACTAATCAACTAACTAAAGAAAGAATACAGATTATTAACAATTAGAAAATATAATACAACAATTTTAGCTAATAATAAATAATGTCATATACAGTAAAAATATAGACAGTTCTTGAGTCTGGTGTCTTAGACAACTGGAATGAACCATGTTAGTAGGTGTAGACTAATTGGTTGAGGTTGGCAAGACAAATCGTAACCGACGGTCGGGGACTTTTGATGATATGGTTTGAAATCGCTTACAATGGTGCAGGTGCATTGTTATCTCTCAAATTCTAATCTTCAGAATTCCTCATTACCTTGATCTTTCTCTTTTTAAATTCGTTTCATTGGGTCATACTTCTAGAATTATATCTATGAACTCTATAATCTTGTCCGTCACTGCTAATACTTCTCCTACATCTACTACTATGGGATTCGAAATGAAAATTCCATCCCTTATTGTGCGCTAATATGGTATGGCAACTTGAACTAATGTACGTACGTATTAGGTTAGACGTCGTAGCTGACTGACAATAAATATTAGTTAACATGTACTCCAGATATAATTGCCATTAACACAGATTCACAAATATTTGTAATTTCGAAATCGATATCATCATTATATAGTGTGATTGGATGAACAATAGTTTCACATTATAAAATTCGTTATATGAAATAAAACGAACAATCTACAACGTCAAGATAACAATATCATTTCTATCTTGATGACCAAACCGAGTTATATTGGCTGCAACATATGTTCCTGTAGGTTCCAGCATACCAAGCAGGTCGATTGGAGAACAATGAGACTAGAAGCAGCGACTCAAGGTCTGAGGGCGACGTCCTACTACTGACTGTAGAGAGAGGTGTGACAACACTAGGGTGTTTCCTTCGAACAATTAGCATCTGCAGCGATGTTGCCTCCTTACGATGGAGGGGAAGGGTTGGAAAAGGTCGACCCTAAAAATATGACACCTCACCTTACTTCACGGATTTCCGTCTCCGGCAGTAAGACCCATTAAACAAGAGTGGAGCTAATACTTTTTAAAAACCTCTCTAAAAATGCCATGTGTGATCGACCTCGAGCAGTTCGAGTTAATACAAATACAAGTTCAAAACCGTCAAGTCAGATATAAGTACAAAGTTTAATTACAGCATTTCAAACTAAAAAAAAAAATAACACAACCAAAATCCAACTTAGAAATTAGTTTGAACGGTACAGAAATCTTGATGATAAGAAACCGTATAATGGACGTTTCAAAATATCACGTATCGACTCTGTACATAATTAAAAGACTCAGTGAACGAACGAAGTATATTATCGTTAACAAGTTATAGGTCATATATATATTATCAGAGACGTCGTCGTTCGACAGAAAAGTATGCTATAAGCTATTTTTAGGTACGAAATTATTCAATGATATGCGTGGCTTCAAATCACCTTGTCTGTCAAAACTAGTAATACTAACCGCATGCTAGAAACGGAGTTCAAACATGCAATAAAGAAGTACAGATAAGTGAACTATCCGTCACCGAAATTTTAAAATGAACCAACTGAAATTTCAAGATAACAGGAGAAATCTTAACAACAAATTTGATTAAAGCATTAAAAAATTCCAACTTACTGATTCACTAAACCATAACATTCGTGATTCTGGATAACACCGAAACATACCATAAACTGGATTGAGTAAATCTCGCATAACCAACAAGAAAAATTCCTTGAAAAGGTAGGTAGGTAGGTAGATATAAGAAATAATACAAAACAAAAATAATACTTTTTATGCACGTAAGAATATAAACTCGAGTTGATAAACATTTCACATGGAAGATTAATAAATAGATTATATTAATTATGACAGATAAACATCCCATGACAGAGTAGTGGATACTACTCACAGAACGTGGTTTCCTAAGTAGTATGAATTAATAAAGTGTCACCCACAGGTTACTACTACTACTGTGGTGCTGTGGTGCGAACTACTTATAAGTAGTATATAGCGTGAGTGTCAACGTAAAGTCTGGTAGCATAATATGGGGGGAAGATCAAGAAAGGAAGAGTCAGAAAACAATGGAATTTGTATGAAACGCATGAAGAGTGACAATGGATTGATGTTTGGCAACAGGAACAGTCCAGTTCCATAGGATGAACTGATCCTTTGCAAATGAACGATTTACGATATGGTTTTCCGATTTTACTGAGTAACTCTGTAATTTTCGTTAAATACAATTCGGTTGCCCCCACCTGTGTTCTCATTCACTACACTACTACTACCGGAGAAGGGTATCCGATTGGAATGCATAGCACGATCAAAGAATCTTGAAGAGATGTAAAAGAGGATAGTCAGTAATTTGTTTGTTTTAAACTTGGAAATTTAAATGTATATTACTTTTCCATCTGGTTTTGATGTCTTCGTTCATTACAAAGTAATAAATGACAGTCAGTCAGTCAGATGCAACGTTGAACTTCGTACGCAAGTACATTGGTTCATGTTGCCATACCACATCAGCACAGAGATATAATTGTCAATCCAAATCCAATAGTAGAACAGTTAGTAAAGGTATTAGAAGTAATCGGAGAGGTTAAGATGAGAAGATATCCAAGAAATATGATTCAGTGAGAAAAGTTTAGAAAGTCAAAACGAGAGGTGTTGAAGAATCCAGAAGATTAGGATTTGAGAGAACACAAAGAATAAATGCACCGGCGCCATTGCGAACGATTCTGAGCCATGTCATTCAGGGTATCTAACCATCGATTATTATCATCTCGCGGACCACAACCAGGTAGTCGACAACTACCGACACGACTTCATGGATTTCTGCCATGTTTTGGTCTGGCCGCACCTAACTTCAGCACTTCATCTATTGATCTGCCATTCTTACCTAGCACCCGTTTCCTAATAACAGCGTTGCTCACTCGGGTGTCCCAGGATATACGAGCAATGTTTCGAAGACATCTGTGATCGAAAACCAATAACCTACGAATATCTTCTACTCTCACAGGCCATGTTTCACAGCCATAAAGTAAGACGGAGCGAACTACTTCGCAGTACACAATTGAAATTTCACGATTATGAACATTTATTAATAATAATAATAATAATGTAAAGATGATTGACGCTTAACCAACACCAATAATAATGACTTACTTTCATTACACCGCCTTCATCCACTGCTTCTTCGTTTTCAAATTTAACCTTAAAAAATGAAAATAAAACATAAACAAGAAATAAAGGGAAAACAAAATAAAGACAGTAATAAACGTATTGAATTTGTTGAATTACAGAATAAATAAAAAAATCGCAAACTACAAACATATTTATGGTGATAAATAGACTGAGAACTGATGAATTTAGTTGGTCATTGGAATTTTAAGTTGATCAGTGTTAAACCAACACATTAGAAACCCGGAAACACTGGATGGCCGCTGTGTCTTAGCACTGCGCATCTACGACTCCTGCTTGCGGGAATCGAACAAAAAGACCTACGGTCTCACAAACCAGATACAAATTGGTTTCCAAAGAAATAAAAGTGTTTGATTCAGATTTTAAGTTTGACAATGAGTGCTTGAAATCAAAGCTCAATTGTAAATACGATAATCAAACATTTTGAATTAGATTTGAATCAGTTTCCAAAAATCTTTACCCTGACTGGTCGATCGGCAGAGCGCATCCATGACTCCTGTTACTTGCAGGATTCGAATCATGGAACTTCGGTCTTACGCACGAAAACATAACCTCTGGATCACCAGGCTGACATCCAACAATGTCAATGTCTAACTCTAGTCAATTTAGGGATTTTGCGCAACCTCACCCATTTGTCTTTGGTAGTCACTGCCTACATCCAGCACCAGTCACGTCTTCTCATTAGAACTCCGAGAATTTCCTTACGAAACTAGTAACTAGTGAGCACATTGTACGATATTTCACTTAGAGTTATGTAGATCACTGTTTTTACTGCACATTGAAATCGCGAATCAATCAACAATAAATAATAACAATCAGAACAGTGAATTACAACACACAATCACATACTTTGAGTAATTTTTTAAAATCCGCTGGATTAGCCATTGTCAAATGAGATAGTGTATCTTGAAGAATATTGTCACGACGAACAGTAATACTAAAATATGGTGATGATGTACCGCTTTCATATGCAGGTATACCAAAAAATGGTGAGATTAATGTTTGGAACATTGCAGATTGTGCATGTGCCATAGCTTGTTGCATTGTTAAACGAGCTTCAATGGTAAGCATTTCAGCTTTGGATGCAGCATCAAATACAAATGGATAATCACAAAATGAAAAAAAACGCTGTTTTGATAATGAAAAAAAGAAAGAAAGAAAAAAAAAAACCCAGATAATTCGGCAAAAATCAGTAATATATATGTTTAAATAGAAAAAAAAGAATTGAACATTGTTTTTGAAAGTACATTTTAAGTAAATATTTCTGAATGCGAGACATTGTAGACACATTGTCAAATATGACAGCGATTGATAATCAACTTAAAAAAAAACAGACAACCGTCGAGAACAAGAGACAATTGATTGATTCCTTATATCCATGACGTCATGCTGGATAGAACCCAGTAACTTCAGAACTTACAGAGAGAGAGTTTAAGCGTACAACCGTTTGAGCCAGAATTCAATGGGTTTATATACCTAATTTTAATCGATTGATAATACTGTGTGAAATCTGGATGTCTTTGGTTCAATCCAAGATGGTTAGTTGTGTCGTTCAGAGTTCGAAAATCTTACACTGGGACGAAATAGCCATCAGTTCTTTCTGATCTTCAATTGGTATTTAGGTTAGGTTAATTTGATGTTCCAATAAAAACCTTTAATTTACGAAAATAGCATTTTTTTTAAAACAACTCTTCGTTGTTCAAGGTGTTCAATGTCCAATAAATACTTCGATCACAAGCTCAAGTTTCGGATTTTAAATTTGGAACGATCAATAATTTCCAACACAACCAACAAAATCAGTACACGATGGTCTTTGATGATTGTTTAGTGTGTAGTTTTCATTCTACACCAAACTGTGGCCTTAACTTGAAATCACACTCTTAGTAGGAGGCGTCAAGTTCCCAAGTTCCATTCACGAAACTGTAAGACTACATTGATGAAGGTGAATGATATGCTGAAAATAAGAAGCTGTTCATTTCTCTCTAGTTAAGCGGTCATTCAACTAAAGTCAGTCCACATTGTAAACTAAAAAAGTAACAAAATTATTTATTGCCAGATTGCAGGAATAGTTTGTTGTTTCTATTAACAATAATCAATTGAGTAAGGAAATATCAGATTTTTCTGAGTCAAGTATTATTCATAACTATGTTTTCAGTATTTTTTTTAGATGCATCTTATATCGCAGAGTAGAACGTTTTTGCAGTTAGTCACTGTCATTATTCCAAGGTTTTATCGTCATTTACATCGTCCCAGTGCCGATCTCATATGAACAATCTGTAATTTCGGGTATAAATATGAATCATACAGTGATTAGTAAGTAAGGAAAAGATTTAGCATGGTAAACGCCTTTGAACTTTGAGGATAACCCACTGACAATTGTGAAAGTTCAACGTCTTATATGATACACACACACACTGATTCAAAGTGATAGCTGCATTTATGTATAATGTGAACGAATGTTGGTTTATTCATGTGTCTAATAACTAATCATCCTTGTAGTATAACATAATTTGCTTATTTATTATGCATTACGGGGTTGTGAAGATTGTTAAGTTACACATTTTTGAAACCATGAATCGATCAATGTTAGACCACCATTAGAAACCTGGAAGCACTGGACGACCGTTTCGTCCTGGTATGGGACTCCTCAGCAGTGCGCACCCACGACTCCTACACCCCGCAGGATTCGAACCCAGGACCTTCGGTTTAGTAGACGAACGCCTAACCATCGGACCACTAAGCCGGTATCTAACGGTGTTAATGTGTAACTTGATCAATTCACGGAGTCGCGCAACCTCATACACAGTCTTAGGTAGACACAGTCTACACCCGAACAGGTTGAACTTCACTGGTCACGGAGAAGATTCCTCACGAAGCTAGTCACTAGTGAGCACAGGTAATTTGCATTACGGGGTTGTGAAGATTGTTAAGTTACACATTTTTGAAACCATGCTGAGGAGTCCCATACCAGGACGAAACGGCCTCAGTCCAGTGCTTCCAGGTTTCTAATGGTGGTCTAACATTGGTCGATTCATAGTTTCAAAAAATATTTATTATGCATAGCAAGCAAATAATTGATTTCTATTGTGTTTGCTCAAATTAAATTAAAAATATCATTCAGCTACTACTACTTACCATTCCACCGGAATTACATTCTTGTAACCAATTTACAAATGCACTACCAATATTAATTTTATCTTTTAATGTTGGAAGATAAAAGCTATTATAAGCAATTGGATTCGGGTGATTTTCGTTCACCTAAAGATAAAAAAATTTGTAAAATAAAAAACAATTGGGATAGAGTTTATACTTTTGTGAATGAAAGAATGTAACAAAAAAAGGAAATATGATTCCGTTATAATCATCATTGCGAAATTAGCTTGCTTCCTTCATACACAACAACAGTCTGGCGTCCGCATTAGGTAGTAAGTAACAACAAGTACATAAATTGTGACGTTTACAGTATGAATTTACAATTGTTCTGAGGAATAACTCCATGGATTGTGGTAGAGTTTCGTTCTCTGATCTGGGTATTTTAATTGTGCAGCTTCCGAACACCATCATCATCAGCACAAACTTTAGATAGAAGTGAAGTAATTGAATGCCTCCCAGCATGACCCGTAGCTCTTGTTCTCTTAACCTCGATCCTGATTGGCTATTCGATGTTTGCACCTTTATTTCCGTTGCATCTTCCTTTGATCTGTTTCTTACTATAGAGCTTTAAAATCTTGTGTAGAATTATTGTAAAAAGGTTCATTATTCTTTGTCAGTTTATTCTATTGTCACATGGGGTTAGATTATTGGCTAATAAATACAAAGCAAACCAATGCATCATACACGACCAAGAGAAGACGATTAGTGTAGCAGCAGCCTCTGCAGCAGTAGGTCTCAACATACATAAAGGTAAAAGCAGAATTCTCCGATGCAACACAACATGCACCAACCAAATCACTGTTGATGGAGATGCCTTGGAGGACGTTAACACCTTTACATATCTGGGCAGCATCATCGACAATCAAGGTGGATCCGATGCAGATGTGAGGGCACGGATTGGCAAAGCAAGGGCTGCATTTCTACAGTTGAAAAATATCTGGAACTCCAAACAACTTTCAACCAAAATCAGCATTTTCAATACAAATATCAAGACAGTTATACTGTATGGAGTGGAAACTTGGAGAACTACGAAAGGCATCATCCAGAAGATACAAGTGTTTATTAACAGCTGTCTACGCAAAATACTTCGTATTCGTTGGCCAGACACCATCAGCAACAACAAACTGTGGGAGAGAACAAACCAGATTCCAGTGGAGGATGAAATCAGGAAGAAGCGGTGGAAGTGAATAGGACACACATTACGAAAAGCACCTAACTGCGTCACGAAACAAGCCCTCATATGGAACCCTCAAGGCAAAAGGAAAAGAGGAAGGCCAAAGAATACATTACGCCGAGAAATAGAGAAAGATATGAGAGGAATGAACAAACATTGGACAGAATTGGAGAGGGAAGCCCAGGACAGAGTTGGTAGGAGAAAACTGGTGGGCGGCCTATGCTCCATTGGGGATAAAAGGCGTAAGTAAGTAAGTAAGTAAGTAAGTAAGTAAGTAAGTAAGTAAGTAAGTAAGTAAGTAAGTAAGTAATGCATCATATGAATAATGAAACTACTGATTTACTACTACTCACAAGTATTATATATATATATATATACTTAAAATGATATCGCATTTTCATTCATATTCTAACTTTTTTTATGTTCAGTACAATATCTGAATAAAAAAACATATTTACCCGATGTAAACGTTTCATAAACTCCAATGCATGACGAATACTTTCTTCTTTTAATTTACGCTATAAAAGAGAAGAATACAAACAAACAAACAAACAAATAGATCTACTTGTAAGTATTTTTTATCATTCAACAATTTGATCATGTTTTTCTCCCGATATGAACAAGAAAGAAGTAAACCAATGAATGGAAAGAATACAATATTGCAGTACATTCTAACTGAGAATTTTGATAAATATATATTGAACAAAAGTTGAAAACTAGTGTCTTTTCATAATTATTAAAACACATGGTATACATTTAATTTTGAAACATGAAAAAAAAGGGAAAAGAAACAGAAAAGAAATATAAAGTCAAAGTAGGGAAGTGTTTTACAGACTTATGAGGAAAATACAGATGTATTTGTAAATTTTCTCGATAGGAATAATCAAATGTTAGATTGCTGTTCCAGCAGACTGACAAGGAAACCTGCTTGACCTAGGGTTTTGAGCTTGTTGGCGCTCACCGGCAAAGTGTAACAACTAACTGGAGAGAAATGAAACTATTCGGGAGATTCGAACTAGCGTCACCAAGCCTCACAGTCTCGTTTTTTTCGAAGTGAACTACACAAGTCATGACTAATATCCTGTAGGTTTTAAATTTATTGACTGACTAGTAGATTTGTGTTTATATTTAGGCAAATAAAGTTTGTATATAACTAATAAATTTAATATGCCAACGATAATAATATTCGACAAAGTTTTTTAATCATGTTGATAGGAAACCAGTAAACTACAAAAAAAGTTAACCATTATTTATGGTGATTTCACAATGGTGTATAATAACCAACATCTTCCATTTTAAACATATAATGAAGTATGCTTTCATTTGCATACTTGATAAGTTATTTAAAATAAATAAACATGGCCTTTCACCAAAATAACAGTTAGTGAATGGGACAGACAATCTTCTAAAAACCATATATCACAGATTTAAGATATCGAATCGTTGAGGGAATTAGTTCACGTTCAACGGTGTGTTATAACCGCTGTACATAATTAGATCAGTTAAAAAATATGATTGGAGACTTCAAAAGTTTCTCAAAACAGCCATCGGGGGCCGAGAAAGTTCTGAAAACAACCTGACTAACCAAAGCTATTTTGGAAACTATCAGGAAAATTACTAATGGTGTTATAGTTCAAAAAAGTTTTTCAGAGTCTTAGAAACTCTAAGTTATATAGAGTACTGTAAAAATCCTTATTTCCTGTACGTTGCTCAAGCTTAGGGCAAAAGGTTCTCGCACATTATCCGATAATATTTTTCTGTTCAGAGTTCATGTACAAAAGATTCTTGAGGTGTAAAATGTATAAGAGTTCAAGTAAAAAAATGCTCCCAAATGTTAAGTGTAGTATTTATTTTTTAAAAAAACATCAGGTATTGTGACACAATATGATTTGATAAGAAAAGAAAGAATTCATAGAATAAATCAGAAATCAAGATAACTTCAGAACAGAAAGTCTATGAAAGGAAAAAGGGTGAACGTGTACGTTAAATTATGGCCGAATCTAAATCATTTTGTACAACATCTTCAGTTATTGGTTACGATAATGACACGGACTGCCACCAAATAGTCTACATTTACTTAAATCGATCGGCCCAGTAAATTTTATCATGGACTGACTGATATATGTATGGTGTCTTGCTTTCATGCTGGTTGGACATACATAACACATATTCTAACTACATTGGTAGATAGAAATCCGTTAATTCATCGAGCAACGTGACATTAATCAGTTAGTCAGCTTCAAAGTAGAACTTCGTATGTAAGTACATCAGTTTAACTTGCCATACTACATTAAAACAAGTAGATGGAATTGTCAATTCAAATCCCGTAGTAGTAGAGCTAGTAGAAGTATAAGCAGTAATTGGCAAGATTAGAGTCTGAAGATATTTTTCAGGGAGTATATACCAGTGAAATAAATTTGAGAGATAATGAGGTGTAGAAAGGATTTGATTGTGACTGATTTAGTCTCGTGTGCTTTTACGGTTTTCACTTCCCGGCTGCCCACACCGTGGAAATTTATTTCTTGAAGAACCTGAAAAGGAAGCTGGATAAGCGTTGGTCTGAGTGACTTGGAGCGTGACAGCAGAGATCAAGGGACAACTGCTTCAGGCCTGTCACACACCATCTCTTCATGAAAGTTTTTAACGTGCTAGCTCTACTCCACAAAAGGCCTTGCAGCCGGAGATGGGAATGGTAAGGTGAGGTGTAACAGTTTCAGGGTCGACCTTTTATAACCCCTTCCTTCCTTGTCAGAAGGTAGCATCGCTGTAGATGCTGGTTGTCCGAGGGAAGCACCTTATTGCTGTCAAAACCCTTTACAGTCAGCAGTACGACGTCGCCTTCAGACTTTGTGTTGCTGCTTTTAGTATCACCGTTCTCCAATCGACCTGCATGACATGGTAGAACCTATAGGAACATACGTTCCAGCCAATATAAGTCGGTCGGGTTATCACGATAGGCATGCCCGACCACCAAAACAAGGTATCAGCTATGTTCGGGATAAATTTGAGAAGAGGAAGATGAAGGTGATGAGGAATTCAGATCAGAATTTGGGAGAGCACAATGAGAGGATACACCTGAGCCGAACGATTCTCAACCACATCGTTTAAATCAACCCCGACCAACGTGTATTATTGTCTCGCGGACCTCAAACGGGTAGTGTACACATGCTAACATGACTTGGTCCAGTTGTCATTCACTTCATGAATTTGTGTCATGTCTTGGTTTGGCCACCCCACTCATACATCACAAGACATTGCTCGTTGAGGAAGTCGGTGGTTGGGCATACATAACACATCCCAACCACCTCAACTGATGAAAGTCCATTCCTTCATCAATTGATCCTTGTCTAGTACCAATTTCTTAAAAACAGGATTTTTCATATTTACCTAATATTCTATGTCTGGCCTTAGCATTCATCGCTTACTCATTGGGGTCCAATATACATAAGTAACAAGTAAACAATGATAAATATAAATATCAACTAGTCATCAAATCAACTCTTACTTGACTATACGCTGAGGCTGGTTGCATATCCAAAATATAGGAAATTAAATTGTTCAAATTCTTTATATTTGAAAAGAGAAAGGAAAATAGACAGCAAATAAACAATTATAACAGAACAGTGTAATATAATATTATAATAATAATTAATAGTAATAAGCTGATATACAACATATCATCAGTTGGTTGATTGTAAAACAGAAGTACGAAGATAATACCAACATATAAATGGGGGGATTATGTCTAGTTTTTTTAAAGGTTTGTTTTGTGAAGTTAAAGCATTTTATAAACTTCGAAATCGGGCATTACTCAAAATAAACATTTTCGTGAGGATAAAACCACATGATTTTTTAAATATGATCATAAAATAGACAATCACTGAGACTTATAGCATCAGCACAAAGAGACGTTAGCGTTAGCCAAGTTGTGTGTACACAAAATAGCGCTATGCTATTATTGTCTTATTAGCTACTTATTCTAAATAAGTAGTTTGAGTAAAATGTCACACTTTTTATGATAACGAACTACACCCTGCTGTGAAAACACTCATCTATCATTGTATTTATTTTGACTATTGCTACTGTTTGAAATTTCCTTTGGTCTAAACGGGATGAGTATAATATGTTCGTTAGTTGCTTGATACAACTAAATACTGGTTTTGTGATTCAAAATGTGCCTATGAGTTTCAATTAACTTAGGAACATAATGATACTTTTATCGTATTTTCGAAAGCGCAACAGATCTCCATGACACTTCAGTAATCAAAGTTTTGCCAGTTTATAGTGCTGATTCTATTGTTAAAGAAATATCAATTTTTTTAGTCTCTCATTTTAAAAAAAAATAATTTTACAACAATATTTCGCAACGATTCATTTACACAAGTGTACATGATTCAATAGAAGGAGAATTACATACCAGAACCAATCTTTTCAGATAACGTGGTTGTATTTTGGTAAACCATCGATCTGTAAAGAAGATTCAATTGAAATATTTACATTATTGTGGGGTATTATGAAATCAAATAATTTGACAAGAATCTATATCTTTATGATAAAAACAGATGCATGTGAAATAGCCAAACATAATCACTATTTCAAATGAGTTCGTTCAAAGTAAGACCGTTTTTTATTTCATCACAAATAAGCAGGGGGCGTTGAAAACAAAACATGGAAGCAATCCATGAAGTCATTGATAATTGGACTGAAACGCTTGAATAAGTGTGGATGCTGGTTACATAATCACGTAACTACGACATTGTCTAAAATCGTTGGCAATGGAGCAAGTACATCCACTTTTTGTTCCCTTAAAGTTTAGACATTTCCCATAATTTTTGTTTTTCGTTTTTGTTTCCCTAAATTATCTTTTCATGAATCGTATCTTCTCTCATCATTAATACCATAACTTAATTATGCCTGTTACGCTACTAAAAGAAATTCTTTAAAGTACTCTGTCTTGAACTCTCCTTTCCAACTGTTCCCGAGTGCTGTTCGCTTTTTCATGTCTACCTCCGATTACCAGAGCAATATACATTCTGATCTGGTTTTATTCCTTTCGCATAGAAAATTCCGAAAGCAAGTTTGTTTCGTACCGCAACTCTAGCACAGTTGCTAACTACATTATTCCATGATTTGGCCTGACGATTTTATCTCTCTGTAGTAATTGGGTTTAATGACTTGAACCGATATATATATGTATACGTACCACAGTCTACATTGCGTTTGACTGCCTGACTATGATATTATTCTTCCATAAGAAGATATCGTTATTGAAATCAGTAAATTTTAACTTGATAAAAAGTTGAACATGTAAATGAATGAACGAACGAATTCAAGCCAAGTATTTACTTCTTCATCAGATATTAGAATCATACATAAATAAATCGATT